CTTCTCTTTCACTTTGTACTCAACAAAGTGTCGGGGAGAGATGTTCATTTCTGTAAGGCTGTTCTTAATACCATCATCTTTTTCTAGGTCTTCCACTTGCTCTATACCCGTTGTAACGTTTTCAATGTGGCTCGCTGTGGCGGATAGTACCAGGGCATTCTTGTTAGGTGTCCAAACCCCTTCATTTGTTGTTCTTTGATGACCTGTAAGACTGGCTTTATTCCTAGCATTCGTCTAATTTCGTGATTTTGTATTCTGTCTTTCCTTGAAACTCCTGCAGTTCTTCTAAGGCATTTCATCTCTTGTCACAATTTTACGTTCATTGGAGGATGTAAGTGTCCATGTTTGGCACTGATAGTATAGGAGATTATTATCTACTTCAGATTTATCCTTTTTTATGTCCTTGATTGGCAGGTGATTATGCTGCAATTGAAGGGGGAAGTCTGAAGAAGCATATGCGAATCCACAATGATGAAAGACCATTCAAGTGAGTGATTACTGATGAAAGACCTTCTTCTTCTTTTTGAGTGATTACTGTTTTCTTTTCTTCTTCTTCTTCTTCTTCTTTTCTTCTTCTTCTTTCTTCTTCTTCTTCTTCTTATTCTTCTTCTTCTTATTATTCTTTCTTCTTCTTCTTCTTCTTATCATTATTATTATTATTATTATTATTATTATTTATTATTATTATTATTATTATTATTATTAATCTCCTACTCTTCTTCTTCTCTTCTTCTTTTTCTGCTGCTGCTCCTCTCCCGTGTTTTTCAACTCCTTCTGAACATAGATCTTCAACTATCCTTTGTCGGGCTCCCATTTACTTTTGCTGACTTTTGAAGTCTTTTCCATATCTTTTGCACACCGTTAAACTCTGTTCCCTATTCTCTTCTCCTTGGGCTTTTTCTCTACATCACGTCACTCTCTGTGTCGGTTCCAGGGCCCCATCTTGGGGTTTTCCCTTCGAAGTCGGAGTGTGTCTGCCTATGATGTAAGGAACCAACAGTCTATCTAACCCAAATCTGCAAAATGGACAAAAGACAGTGAAGTTCATACTAGAGACAACATTGCAGATAAAGATAATCTATTTTAAGCAAATGAAAGAAGAAGAAGATGTGCTTGCAAAACTGAAGTTGTGAAATAAGACTAAAATCTAGCCAGAATGTGCAACAATGGGCGCTAAGAAGAATAATAACCATTGTTATTATAAAGAAAGAGGCTCAGATCTGTGTTAATTATTGAAAATTAGGGACCCATTTATACACCTTGAGCCATTTAAATACATGATTCTAGTCCCATGTCAGTTGGGGCTCAATGGGTTGTTGCTGGCACCACTCCAACTTCGTGACAAAAGTGGTCAGGCCATTTGCCTCACACGCTGTTGTTTCACCACTGCATTGTTTGGTTCATGAGTGTAATTTTTAGGAAGAACCTTGGAGGTCAGCGCCGGAGCTGCAGTGTTCATGCTTTGTGTGATGTTCTCAGCAGCTGTCCAACCGCTATGCAGAGAGATACTGAGCCATGAGGGTTGAAAACCAGAGAAATAGATTCTCTTGACTGTAACCTTCCACCTCTCCATCTTTTCTGACAGTGAATGAACCAAGAATTGACATCACTGCCCTCTGGAATGCCCACACGTGCTCCCTCCCCTTCTTCAGTAACAGTAACCAACAAAGAGTTGACACGCTAACAGTACCAGTTGCAGTCTGATTTGAAATCTGCCTGTGGATTCCCTTTCTGTTCTTTTGCACTGCCCATTTGATTCCATAGAACCTTCATCACAGCCACTTTATCATATACAAAACAGATCAAGAAGACAATGGAGAGATAATCTCCAGAGAGATCTGCAAACACTTGGTGTCACTAACTGGTTTGGGAAGGCCAACCAGAGAGATGAGTTGAAGGCAGGTGATGTCTGCAGCAATGAACTTTAAAGCCTCGGAATGCTGAAGAAGAAGCTCACTGCCCAGAGGGCGGCAGCAGCTAATCTGTCAGCCTGCTTGTTACCTCACACACCTGAATCTCCTGGACAGACAATCCATGACATGCTGTTGGTCTGCTTTTACCAAGCCACTCTGCTCTCAGGACACCAGTTTCAGTTTTCCCTGTCATGCTCTGTGGGTCTGTTACAATTACAACATATCGGGCTGTGCTGCTCTCAAGCCATTGGAGAGCTGCCGTTTCAACCTCCATTTTCATACTGGATGTAGTGGCATTGTACGTGAATCTCTATGTTTTCAAACAGTGTCCATTCACCTTATCAATAAATCCCCACCCACTCTTCTTACCTATAACTACAGACCCATTGGTAAATATTATGGTGTCACCTGGGTGTGAATTTCCATTGATCAGCTCTTGCAACGCTGACTGTGTGTCACCAGCTTTTCACTCTGTCTCTTTCCTGTAGTTGTGCTCCATTGTGCTTGTAGGGCGGTTTGGGAATCACAGCCCATAGTGATGCCAGTTAAGGCCATGGATGGAGTTCCCCCCTCTCCGTAGTTTGGGCAGTATTGTACAGACCATGTGCTACCCCTGCTTTATGAATTCTTTTCCTCGCCAAGCAATGTTTACTGATTGAAGAATCAACATTATAGCACACAAGGCTTACCCATAGATGCTCTGTCATCGGCAGCAAAAGTCTCAAGGTGTAGATCAGGGCTACTTAACTAGAGGTCAGGGGGGCGAATCAGGCCCTCTGAGGCCTAGCATGTGGTCCGCGGATCATTGCCAGTTGTATGGCATTAATGATCTTTTTGTGCTGGAACCGGGGCTTCTGGCCCATGACAATCCCGATTTTGAAAATATTGGCCCCTGTGTGAACCTAGTCAAACAGCCCTGGTGTAGATACTGTTTCCGTAGGACACCGATTATACACACGCTGCTCTCTTCCTCTCATATGCCTGTTCTTAGTGGATCCTCATTCACACATTCTTACGCATGTTATTTCATCTAATCTCATGTCTTCTGTCAACATTAATTCTTGTATGGTCTTCAGAATATCTCCCTTGTCCAGTATGAGTGTTCATATAGCTATCGCTTTTGTAGCCAGAAAATCCGCTCTTTTATTCCCTCACACTCCTGCATATCCCAGGCAGTATTTCCACGTGATTACCTGCAATGTTGGCATACTGATGCTTGTTTTCTACTCATGCCACATTAGTCCAATTTTTTGCCTCCCGCAGTACCAACTGAGAATCAGATACAATCATTTCTCTGCTAACTTGTTTCTGCTATCCAAATGTATACCAAGCAATGTATGATCTGTGAATGAATTTATTCATTTATTTCCTTCCATAGCATAATGTGTTCTTTTACTTTTACCATTTGGTCAGAACATACTAAAGAAATCTGCCTTCCATCGGTAGTCGCGACAACTCTGTATACTGCTACTTTGAAAGTAAAGCATTTATGATTTTTCATGCATGATTATTTCTTCACTTTGATATTTCCTGTATAACCTTCTGGCACTGGAAGAATTAATTAGAAAGGAAAAGTAATACCAGTGCATTGAAAACAAGGGAAGTGTAATATGCTCATCTAGGGGTATGTGTTGATTACATTGCTTTCAGACGAACAGTGAGTTGAAACGACACAGCATGAATGAATATTGAGTTCTTTGCTTTTATTCGTTGAATCGCCAGTTATCGCATACATACATTCTCGCTGCCTCGTGCTCGTCTTGCTTGGCTGAAACTAGCGACCTGGTCGGACTTCTCACACACTACAGGAATTCATCAGCGTCTCTCGAACCATCCATCTATCCTTCATGAACCCTGGTACCTGACATTACGATGTGTGAAAAAACATTCAGTCCTCCTATTGAAATATAAAACTCGCTTCACAAATCATTTATTCTTCGCAGGCGTCCACTCATGCGTCCTCTCTCAGTCAGGGCCGAACTTCAACTGTCTTACTCCTGTCTCTCGGTTCACGTCTTCCGTCCACATCTCATGCTTTTCTTGTGTCCCTCACTTCGTTCACCATGGGACACACGAGACCCGCTTATCCCGTTTTTCTCTTCTCTCACGGGTCCTCCGACCTTTTTCTCCCCATCGGGAACTCTGTGGGATTTCCCCGGGAATTCACAACATTGCAGCAAGAAACAGATTATAACAACATATTCTTACCAACGCTCTGTTGGATCGCACAACACAACACACCCTGCCAATTGTCCTTATGCTTAAGGTGAACCATTTTACACAGATACATAAAATATAAATAGAAACAAGATGCCAGTGCACTTATATACCAACTGACACTGCTATTAAGACTTCCAAACATAAGTATGAGCGCCAAGAAACAGATTATTAACAACATATTCATACCAACACTCTGTTGGATCAAAAGAGCACAACACAACACACCCTGCCAGTTGTCTTTATAAGTATGAATGCAGAATGTGAACTTTTTTATACAGATATCTAAAATAGAAATAGTAACAAGATGTCATCAACCCAGTGCACTTATTTACCAATTGACACCCTTATTAAGACATCCAAACATAAGTTTGAGTGCCAAGAAACAGATTACAAACAGCATATTCATACCAACACTGTGCTACCAGTGCCAGATGTGGACATTATCAAAGGCTAACCTACGTAAAATAAACACCTGCAAAATGAGTTGCCATAGAAAAGCCGCCAACTGAACCATCCGAGACAAGGTTAGAAATTATATAATCAGATTGTAGAAACAACACACTGCAGCAAATTCATTGAGAAACGGAAGATCAAATGGTTCGATCATTTACTAAGAATGCAGCTAGAACAACTACTAATGCAGGCACTACACATGAAGAGATCTGAAGTGAAAGCAAGAGGCTGCCCTAGTAGAAGATGGATTGATGACAATAAAGAGCTTCCACATTGACACAGAATGACAGTAGCCAATGCTGTGCATCAAGCAATGGATCACAAACTGTTCTTCCCCACAACGCTTACGGCAGGAGTGGAAACTGATGATGATGATAATCATGATGACCTAAAACAGATTATGCTTTGTTGCAGGTGCCAGATTTGTTCTTATGCCAGCCGAAATTCCAGTCAGCTGATTGTTCACTTGCGGACTCACACTGGAGACTGCCCCTTCCATTGCACCAAATGTCCCGCCAAGTTTAAAATCAACTCTGACCTCAAACGTCACGTGCGAATACATACCGGGGAGAAACCATTTCAGTGTGACAGGTGTGACTATAAGTCTTCAAATAAAGGTACACTGGTTTTTCTTCCTCTTTTTCCTCCTCTACTTCTTCTTCTTCTTCTTCCTCCTCCTCTTCTTCCTCCTCCTTCTTTTTCTTATTCTTATTCTTCCTCCTCTCTTTCTTGTTCTTGTTCTTTTTATTCTTCTTTTGTTTCTTCCCCTTCTTCTCCTCCTCCTTCTTCTTTTTCTTTTTCTTCATCCTTAACAACAGGAAAGTTGAGGGGCATCAACAGAGAACATTTTGCAGAGTTTAACATCATGGCATGGAAGGTAAGATCAGAAAAACAGACGTAATTCACACTATCCTTGGAAACAGGTTGTATGTAATACAAAGAAATAATGGTGGATGGCCAGATACATTCAGAATGTTTTATACCTTTGCAAAAAATATGCTGGCTTCCGTGATCGACTGTTTGTGCCAACAGTGAGCTGCTTTTCTGGAGTGGGACCATTAGTGTTGGCACCTCTAACAGCTGCCTTATTCATTTATAACTGTGTGTGTAAGCTTCAAGATTTTGCTGGGAGTTGAGCTGAGTTAAGTCAAGAATTGAGAAAACATGCGTTCTCATGTGTGCTCCATCCTCATCTTCAGCAGCCAATACTGATGGTACAGGTCACAATCTGGTTATGTGACCGTCTTGCCTTTCCTCTGGGTGTAGTGAGCCAGCCAGACCCTCTGATTACACCCAGGTGCCTCATTCCCTTTCTCCTTTTTTTCAGAGTCTGTTACAATTACGACATATGTATGAATTTGCTGGGACTGAATAGCATAATTTTGTTACCGTTTTTTTTTTTTTTATTTACAATGATGTCAAATGATTCAACTTGTAATGTCAGCTTAGTAATTTTCCCTTTAGGAAACCTCAAGACCCACATGAAGATCAACCACTTGGAAGAGAATGAGCTCCACTGTCCAGCTTGCCAGTTTGCCACCTCTTCGCGGAAACGATTCAGAGAACACGAGAGAGTCCACAATGTGCTGGTGGTCAGATGCACGCAGTGCGAATACACCTGCGCCAACTTCGGCCAGCTGCGCAGCCACGCGATCATCCACAACTCCGTGAAGCCTTTCAGATGTAAATTATGCCCATACTCATCCAGGCAAAGTGGTAACCTTAAGAAGCATGTTCAGAACATGCATCTGCACAAACTCCGCTCAAGATCCAAGAATACGGCAGTTGAGGTGAACATTCCAGTGAAACTTCCAAGTACCAGAAGAGAGAATGTGCTGTTGCCCATCTCAGAAAGATCTAGTGTTCAGAGACGCCGCAGTACAGCAGGGTGCAGGAAGCTGCATTCTTGTCAGCAGTGTGGTTCCAGCTTTGTACGTGAGGACTCTCTGAGGTGCCACATGAAGCAGCACAGTTCCCATGTGGGAGAGGTAGGTGAAAGTGCTCTGTCCTCTTCTCTATTATTCATATTTTGCTCTCATCTTCTAAAGTGCATCATCATCATTATGTAGCTAGCAGGTCCTTTGCAAAATGTCACTCTCATCACGGTCTGCCTGAAAGAAACTCGGTTTCTGGCCAGCTCTTCTGCCTCATGTACTTTCATACTCAAGGGGACACTTATATCCTGCGCCCATCTTCATGTCGGTCGGCCCCTGCCCCTCCTTCCTGGTACCATGCCTTCTGCTATAATTCTTTCCAATCCGTTGTGGTGCATACCACAGTAAAAAAAGGATGCAAATAATTAAGGATTCATTTATTGCTCCTTATTCTACCAAAGTCCGCAATTAGACAATACATCAAGATCTTGATACCCAATCCTTACAAACCCAAGTGGATCAGTCACAGTTACAATGATTTGGACATGTATGCAGAATGGGAGAAAATCAGCCACCATGGAAGACTAAGAACCAGGGAACCAGACCTCCAGGGCGACCCAGGGTGCGCTGGGAAGACAACATACGACAATCCCTAACTGACAGAGGACTGGAATGGAACAAAGCCAGAAAGAAAACTACTGATAGAGATACCTAGAGATCTCTCTGGCGAACCTCTACATCCCAATGTAGGAGAAGAGTGACTAAATAAGTAAGTAAGCTTCTTATTCTTCACTTCTTTCTTTAACTTAATCGAAATGTTGGGCAAATATATAAGGATCTTCTGTATGCTGTTTCCAATTATTTGTATGAGTTGGTCTTTATTTCTTTAATTTCCCTGTTCTTGGCCCCTGCATATTTGCTCGACAGACCACCAGCCAGATGGTATCTTCAGCTAGAGTCATCCATATGACTTTCCTCTTTTCAACCGGTCTTTTCTAAAATCTTTCTGACTGCCATGCAGCGCCTGCCTTTCATCACTGGCAGAAAGTTATGGTTTTTCGTCCACTTCTGGACTCTAATTTGGTTCTAGAACTTGGGTTTTGCATACACATTAGTTTTATAGATTTTCTTACTTGTATGCAGACTGTTAGTTCCTAGCCTCTGAAGCAGATGTGCTCCGCCTTTGAAGGAAACATTGCTAATTAGTTGACTTACAAGATATGGAAGTGAATCATGGACAGTTGGTAGATTAGTGAAAAATTATTTGGAAGCTGCAGAGATGTGGTTTTATAGATGAGTGATGAGAATACCCTGGACTGATAAAAAGAATAATGAAGACGTCTTGAAAGAAACTGACTCACGAAGAGAACTGATCCCATGCAGCCACTTTGGAAAACTTCCTCTTGTCGCGTGCTGGCCTTGCAAGCCACATTTGCCACGGCCATAGGTTGTAGTTTCTACACCTTCTTACAGCACAGTACTGTCGTCTGGAAAGACAGAAAGGTGCCAATATATCCAAAACATGCCCAACAGTTATTGCTTATAAATGTGTCCTATCAATATGGCGCACCTTGTACTTACATTGTATATGTGTTTGTGTGTGTATATATAATTTTTCATTGATGTATTGTCTGGTTGTGCCATTGTATGTCACATAGAGCTCATACTTCTCCATTCCTTTCTGTCCTATGCTTCTTCTTCTTTTGCCTTTCTAGCCCTCTATGGAGTATGGAGCCTCAACCGGCTCACGCCAAGTCATTCTATCCTATATATATATATATATATTTATACAGACAATATATATATTTTTAGTATCTGTGGCTTAGGCATTGGGAACGGGCTTCGTAGTGCCGGGTTCGATTCCCTCTGCGGACCATTTGTCTTGCCTTGGTTCTGACAGTGGTACTGACAGCTGACCGTACAGAATACAACGGCAAACTTCTGAACGTAAAATGTGCAAAGAAAAACTACAACAGCCAAAAAATGCTGGCGTTGATTCTGCAACGTCATGTGAAGCATATTCAACTAACTGTATGTATGTATGTATGTATTTATGTATGTATGTATGTGTGTAGAGAGTCGCCGTGGCATTACTGGCTAGATGCCCGTGTGCAGATCGAAAGGTCGTAGGTTTGTGTCCTGACGGAGCCAGACTTTTTTCAAAATGACCTTGACTTCAAGGTCGACCTTGCCTTCGGTGGGTACCAGGTGCAGTCCTGGGAAGTAAAGGCAGCCGGTGTGATGCTGACCACATCACCCATCAAATGCCAATTGGTCCATAAAAATATAGGTCTAGTCCTATATTCCCTATACGCCCAAATGCGTGGAAAAAGGACCTTTACTTGTTATGTATGTATATGTATGTATGTATGTATGTATGTATGTATGTGTGTGTGTGTATGTATGTATGTATGACTGTATGTATATATGTATGTATGTATGTATGTATGTATATATGTGTGTATATATATATGTGTGTGTGTGTGTGCGTGCGTGCGTGCATGTGTGTGCGTGTGCGCGCGCCTGCTTGCCTGCCTGCCTGCCATGTATGTATGTATGTGTGTGTGTGTGTATGTAGTTGTATGTATTTAGGTTGTATGTATATATATATGTGTTTGTGTGTGCATGCGTGCGTGCATGTATGTGTAGTTTGTGTGTGTATGTATGTAGGTTGTATGTATGTAGGTTGTATGTGTGTGTGTGTGTGGGCGGGCTTGCTGGCGGGTGGGGGGGGGGGGGGGGGGGGGTGTATATATGTATGTATGTATGTATGTATGTATGTATGTATGTATGTATGTATGTATGTATGTATGTATGTATGTATGTATATATATATAGGTGTGTATGTGTGCATGTGATTATAGGAATGTATGTATGTATGTATATGTATATAACTTTTTTTTATAACATTTTTACAGAGTACCATAGAGGAAGAAGCTGATGAAAAGCTCCTATCTGCTGACGCAGGCATGGATCTTCAGTCCACTCCTACAACAAACACCGCCACCTCAACATTTTATGGCATCCAGCAAATTGTCGCTGCTGCCTCTAAAATTTACGAAGAGAACTACGGTGCCATCAGGGCTACAGATAATCATCCGGCTGCCAGATCAAAGTCATTCCCTTCCCTGGACTCACTTCCTGAGCCTTCTGTAGATCAGTCTGCCCCACAAAGCCGGTCCCATGCTGCATTTAGTAATTTTTATACACCAGCGTCTGCAGATGCTAAGTTAAAAAAGAAGCGTAGGATTACAGCTTTGCCTCAACTGCCATGGGAAAATGGTTTTTTTTCTGCATCTGTGTCTTCACCTTATGATTCACATCTGCCTTCCAGTCTTGTTGATGTGCCAGAGTCTTTATCTTCACATTCAAAAACGCAAACTGGCAATATTGAGGAAGCCAGTGGCCAGAAACTTCAGTCTGAGAGTGCCCAGCATAATTCAGTCTTTACACAAGATAAGCCAATCCATATTTTAAATCAACACATTGGCAAGCAGCTGGGCCCAGATTTAATTAAAGGGAGGAAGATTGAAAAGTCTTTCTTATCACCCATGAAGTTATCTTCTCCTCCTCCTTCAGAGTTAACTCCCCTATCACAGCTGCCCCCAAAGGCTGACTGCAGTAGGAGGCAATCTGCTGCAAGCATACAGCAGCCAGTAACTGTGTCGTTGCAAAGTTTGGGATCTTCTCATTCGTTGGAAACAGACTCCACAGTGTTCCTGGCAGACCAGGTAGTTGTTGTCATCATTTCTGTGTGTGGGTTCTGGGGTCCGATTGGGGGGTGGGATATAGACCTATTGCTCTTGTGACAAGGAATTTGCAAAAGGCGACTAATTAGGGTTGTTTTCCTTGATATCAGAGTACACCTGCCTAAGAGGCCAGAAGCCAACAGTCTCCTTGCATTTAGCCAGATCTGTAGAATAGATGTGTGCATACCTCAAGCCCCATGAACAAAACCAAAGTTCAGAAGTGGACAAACAACCAGACCTTTCTACCACAATTAACACTAATGGACACTAAGACACAGAGGAGACATAGTATGCTATTGACGTCACATGTTAGTGTCGAATAGTGACTTTTTTTACTCATTTTCTATCTCAGATAGTGACTTTTTTTTACTCAGTCATATCTATCTCAGTGACTTTTATACTCAGTCATATCTATCTCAGTGACTTTTATACTCAGTCATATCTATCTCAGATAGTGACTTTTATACTCAGTCATATCTATCTCTGATAGTGACTTTTATACTCAGTCATATCTATCTCAGATAGTGACTTTTATACTCAGTCATATCTATCTCAGTGACTTTTATACTCAGTCATATCTATCTCAGATAGTGACTTTTATACTCAGTCATATCTATCTCTGATAGTGACTTTTATACTCAGTCATATCTATCTCTGATAGTGACTTTTATACTCAGTTATATCTATCTCTGATAGTGACTTTTATACTCAGTCATATCTATCTCAGTGACTTTTATACTCAGTCATATCTATCTCTGATAGTGACTTTTATACTCAGTCATATCTATCTCTGATAGTGACTTTTATACTCAGTCATATCTATCTCAGTGACTTTTATACTCAGTCATATCTATCTCTGATAGTGACTTTTATACTCAGTCATATCTATCTCAGTGACTTTTATACTCAGTCATATCTATCTCAGATATTGACTTTTATACTCAGTCATATCTATCTCAGATAGTGACTTTTATACTCAGTCATATCTATCTCAGATAGTGACTTTTATACTCAGTCATATCTATCTCAGATATTGACTTTTATACTCAGTCATATCTATCTCTGATAGTGACTTTTATACTCAGTCATATCTATCTCTGATAGTGACTTTTATACTCAGTCATATCTATCTCAGATAGTGACTTTTATACTCAGTCATATCTATCTCAGATAGTGACTTTTATACTCAGTCATATCTATCTCAGATAGTGACTTTTATACTCAGTCATATCTATCTCTGAAAGTGACTTTTATACTCAGTCATATCTATCTCTGATAGTGACTTTTATACTCAGTCATATCTATCTCAGATAGTGACTTTTATACTCAGTCATATCTATCTCAGATAGTGACTTTTATACTCAGTCAAATCTATCTCAGATAGTGACTTTTATACTCAGTCATATCTATCTCAGATAGTGACTTTTATACTCAGTCATATCTATCTGAGATAGTGACTTTTATACTCAGTCATATCTATCTCTGATAGTGACTTTTATACTGTCATATCTATCTCTGATAGTGACTTTTATACTCAGTCATATCTATCTCAGATAGTGACTTTTATACTCAGTCATATCTATCTCTGATAGTGACTTTTATACTGTCATATCTATCTCAGATAGTGACTTTTATACTCAGTCATATCTATCTCAGATAGTGACTTTTATACTCAGTCATATCTATCTCTGATAGTGACTTTTACACGTGTTAAAAACATGTCAACCACAAACAGTGCTCAGAAATGTCTGCCTCAAATAGTGACTTTTACAATTAAAAATGTTTGTCTTATATTATGGATTTTACAAACATATAGAAATGTGTGCTGCAAATAGTGATTTTTACAAGCACTCAGAAATATCTGCCACTGTTGGTGACTTTTAAACTCAGAACTATCAGTCCCAAATAGTGACTTTTACAAACATTTAGTAACATCTGTTTCAAACAGGAACTTTTACAAACATTTAGTAACATCTGTTTCAAACAGGAACTTTTACAAACATTTAGTAACATCTGTTTCAAACAGGAACTTTTACAAACATTTAGTAACATCTGTTTCAAACAGGAACTTTTACAAACATTTAGTAACACCTGTTTCAAACAGGAACATTTACAAACATTTAGTAACATCTGTTTCAAACAGGAACTTTTACAAACATTTAGTAACATCTGTTTCAAACAGAAACTTTTACAAACATTTAGTAACATCTGTTTCAAACAGGAACTTTTACAAACATTTAGTAACACCTGTTTCAAACAAAAACTTTTACAAACATTTAGAAACATCTGTTTCAAACAGGAACTTTTACAAACAATCAGAATCTCTGCCTATGATATTGACTTTTACAAAACACTAAAAAATAATTTTCTCATGGTGACTTTTAAATTCAGAAATATCTGTGACAAATAGTGACTCTTACTCTCAGAAATCTATGTCCCCAATTTTCACTTTTACACTCTTATATATCTGCCACAAATAGTGACTCTTACTCTCAGAAATATATGTCCCCAATTTTCACTTTTACACTCTTATATATCTACCACAAATAGAGACTTTTACACATGCTGAGAAATATATCTACTTCAAATGCTGATTTCTAACACAAGAATTCACAAATCATCATCATCATCATGTATCAGGTCTTTTGCAGAATGTGGCTCTCATTACAGTCTGCCTAAAAGAAACTTCTTCTCTTGCCAGCTCTCCTGCCTCTGTACTTTCATATTCAAGGAGTTACTAATATCTTGTGCCCAGCTTTGTGTTAGTCGGCCCCTGCCCCTCCTTCCTGGTACCATGCCTTCTGCTATTAACTTTTTTTTCAATCCACCATGGCACATGAAATGACCAAAGTATTTCAGCTTCCTAGACAAGATGCTGTTTATTAGCCAATCTTCCTTGTTGTTTTTTTTTTTTTTTTTTTGGTTCAGGATGTTAAGAATGTTAAGCACATGACATCGCTGATCAGATAAACACAACGACATCATAGTGACAGTTTAAAGATGCATGAGAGATGCATGAGTGGTTCACACATGTGACCAAGATTTTTTTTTATTCTACAGGACTCCAAGCACTTTTTGTTTTAGTGCCGGTAGACCTGCATTCTTTTTTTTCTTGTCTTCCTCTCTCTCTTTTTTCCTGTTCTTATTTCTTTCTTCTCTTTCTTTTCTTTTCTCCTTTTTTCTTTCTCTTTTATTATTTTTTTTTCTTCTTTTAATTCTCTCTTTTCTATTTTTCTTTTTCTTTTCTTTTTATCCTCTCGTCCACATCTCCTTTTTCCATCTGCTGTCTACCGGAGACCTGTTTTTGCCAGAGTGTCACTAGCCATTCTTTACACATGTCCAAGCCATCTCCATCGTCTTACTTTGATAATATTTGCCAGTGATGCACATTCTGTTTTCCTCCTCAGTTCTTGATTTGTGATCTTGTTTGGCCAAAATATTCGTAGAATTCTCCTTAAACATTTATTTTGAAAAGTCCCAAGTTTATATGTAATTCCTGCTGTCATTTTCCAACATTCACTTTTGTATAATAGTATTCCTAAAATGTTGCTTTTGTATATTTTGAGTTTTGTCTTCAAACTAAATCCCTTTGACTTCCATATATTTTTAAGCATTGCAAATGCTTGATTTGCTTTGTTTATTCTTGATGTTACATCCCTTTCAGAATCTCCATCTGGAGTAACTTTACTTCCGAAGTATATAAATTCTTCAACTTCCTCTATTGCTTCATCATTCAAGATAATTGGATTTTCTGTTTTGAAATTATTTCTCATTATTTTAGTTTTACTGGTGTTTATTTTGAGTCCTTTCTTAAGGCCTGTTGAAAATCTTTCAGTATTTTCCTGATCATCCACATGACAGCTTGATATAAGGCTGATGTCATCTGCATAGTCCAAATCCTCTAAAACAGAGGTGAGTGACCACCTGATGCCTCTTTTTCTATCTCGTGTTACTTCCTTCATCAGCCAGTCAATGGCCAAACCGTACAAAAAGTGGGGATAGTATACATCCCTGTCTGACTCCTGTGTTGACAAAGAAACTTTCTGTTGTATAATGATCACAAACTACCTTCAATGAAACACTAAGTAAATTGCTTTGATCAAATGTACTATTTTCTGTGGTACACCCTAGTGACGCAAAATCCTCCATAGTTATTCCCTATGCAGGCTATCAAAGGACCTGCAGTGAATGTAGTGGGGACTGCATAAAAAAAGGATGCATTTGTTCTTTAGTTTTTCAGAATATATTTGCTCCCCCACGCATTAAGGTTTTCATTTGAAACCCTATTGTACTATATCAAAATGTTCGGGGGGGGGGGGGGGGGGGGGGGGGGGGGGGGGGGGGGGTAAAGATCTTCATTAGACTTTCTAATATATTGTATTACCTCCCGTGTGTAGTCGCTCCACTCCACAGTTGTATTCTTCGACATGCCCAGTTCTGCTTGGCAAAATTGAATGCTTGTCAACTCTTAAGACCAGTAGTATAGAAATAGAATGATCTGTCTGTAAAGTGGGCATGACCCTTTGAGCCATGCCCCTTTCCGCAACAGTATTTCCAGATTGACTTTCGACACCACCATTGATCCTCTTTTTCCGTCAGCGATAACAGCATCGCATGATTATTGCAACAGCGTCTGGTGCTATGCAGAATGACATGGTATTGCAGAAAAGCAACGCTGGTCTCCTTGTCAGGCACCGATGCTGCAAATTCCAGGAAGTTCATGGCGATGAAGACTGAACATGAAGCACGCCAAAGAAGAAACGCGCCAACACTATGGCAACAGTTGGCAATGCTTAGCAACGAAGACACACACACAGCGGGAACCACTCTTACCACCCTCCAAAATATTGGACTGTCCCATGACGTCATATGGGGAAAAAAGGGGGGAACTATTGGGAAAGCACCATTTTACATTACTAAAATATGTCACACACTTGTGAACCATGTAGATCTTAATGAACACTATGTTACTAAAATATGTGAAAGAAATTCTTGTGAATCATACAGGGAGGCCAGCCACTTCACCCTTTGTCAGTGAACCCCATGCATGTACAGCTGCAGCCAACCAGCCAGATTCAGATTGTGATGTCAGGTGCTGCAGTATCCAAACCTGGCCAATTAGTCGGCACACAGGAGAACTCTGTCCTTCCTCAACAGATTTTATTGCAGGTATAATTTCAATAGGATTTAGTTAGCTAGATAGTTAATTAGCTAAGTGGTTAATTAATTAGGCATTTAGCTAGCTAGGTAGTTGGCCCGTTAATTGGTCAGTTAAGTTGGCTGGTTGATTGATTAGTTAATTTAGTTGGCTGGTTGATTGGATAGACAGTTAAGTTGGCTGGTTGATTGGTTAGTCAGTTTAGTTGGCCTGTTGACTGGTTAGTCAGGTTAGTTGGCTGGTTGAGTGGTTAGTCAGTTTAGTTGGCTGGTTGATTGGTTAGTCAGTTTAGTTGGCTGGTTGATGGTTAGTTAATTTGGTTGATTGGTTAGACAGTTTAGTTGGATGGTTGATTGTTTAGTTGGCTGGTTGATTAGTTAGTTAATTTAGTTGGCTGATTGATGGTTAGTTAATTTAGTTGCCTGGTTGATTGGTTAGTCAGTTTAGTTAGCTGGTTGAGTCGTTAGTCAGTTGAGTTGTCTGGTTAGTTAATTTAGTTGGCTGGTTGATTGGTGAGTTAATTTAGTTGCCTCGTTGATTGGTTAGTCAGTTGAGTTGGCTGGTTGGGTCGTTAGTCAGTTGAGTTGGCTGGTTAATTGGTTAGTCAATTTAGTTAGCTGTTTGACTGGTTAGTTAATTTAGTTGGCTAGTTGATTGGTAGTCAGTTTAGTTGGCTGGTTGATTGGTTAGTCAGTTTAGTTAGCTGGTTGATTGGTTAGTCATTTTAGTTGGCTGGTTGATTGGTTAGTCAGTTTAGTTAGCTGGTTGATTGGTTAGTCATTTTAGTTAGCTGGTTGATTGGTTAGTCATTTTAGTTGGCTGGTTGATTGGTTAGTCAGTTTAGTTGGTGTGTTGATTGGTTAGTCACTTTAGTTGGTGTGTTGATTGGTTAGTCACTTTAGTTGGCTGGGTGATTGGTTAGTCAGTTTAGTTGGCGTGTTGATTGGTTAGTCAGTTTAGTTGGCTGGTTGATTGGTTAGTCAGCTCAGTTGGCATGTTGATTGGTTAGTCAGTTTAGTTAGCTGGTTGAGTGGTTAGCCAGTTTAGTTGGCTGGTTGATTGGTTAGTCAGTTGAATTGGCTGGTTGATTGGTTAGTCAGTTTAGTTGGCTGATTGATTGGTTAGTCAGTTTAGTTGGTGTGTTGATTGGTTAGTCAGTTTAGTTGGCTGATTGATTGGTTAGTCAGTTTAGTTGGGTGGTTCTTCATCCACCTCTAGACCTTTAGACTTGTTCCAGAACCTGAGTGTTGCGTTTTACAGATCTGGCTTATTTGTATGCAGACAGTTGGTTCCTTGCCTCTCAGGCAGATGCACTCCGACTTCGAAAGGAAATCCCAAATTAGTCTACTCTTATGACATGCTTGTTGAGGAGACGGTGGGTCTATTGTCCCCCACAATGGGGTACCCCGGGACCCACATTGGGGAACTTGCAGTTCTTGTCGCAGAACAGGATCAGAATCGAGACACAGATGACCAGTCAGGACTTTCTGCACTATAACCTGCATTTTGATGATTTCATGACTAGCTCTTCTTTCCAGGCACATGTATCTTTAAGGTGCCCCTAACCCTAACTTCATAAAATGAATCACTGTGACTTGTCTAGCAGCAAAAGGCCCACGGGAAAATGGAAAATAAAATAAATCTCCGTAATTCTTTTAAGAATGGAGATTGAGAAGCAACAACGAAACTCAAAATCTGTTATATCACCACTGGTCACTGGCATCATGAGAGCTTGTAGACTGAAATGTCTGGGCCGCATTGAGAGAAAGTCAGATGACAGAGAGGTAAAAACTGGATACACGACCAAGCTGAATTATCAAAGACCACGAGGCAGACCAAGAAGACGATGGAGAGATAATGTCCAGATAGACCTGCAAACACTTGGTATCACAAGCTGGAAAGAGAAGGCTAGCCAGAGATATGAATGGTGGCAGGTGATATCTGCAGCAATGGCGTGTAATGCTGAAGAAGCAGAACATTCTTTTAACACTTTTAACCTATCATATGTGAAGTACTTGCCATAAAACCATTTCTGCAATCAGTTTATTTTTCTGTTCTTGCATTTCCACATCCTAAGGTTCAAGGCAGTTCTGAAGGATCCAAGATATTTACCATCCCGCTTGCCAGTTTAAACTCACTGCAAACTACTGGCCAGATCCTACCTCACATCGTCAACCATTTTACACTTCAGCAAAATAGCCTAATCAGTTCCAAAGTTTCCCATATAACAGAATCTCAGCTCGCAGGTGCACAGATGCTGAACCAGCCTGCTCTTAAGCTGACCGACAGTATACAGAACAACACTGTAACAAGCCGCCGTGTCACAAGTATCCCAGAAACTGCAGAGGATGTCTTTAGTAATGTGAAACAGTTGGGTTCATCTGGATAAAGATTCATCATCACAATATTCAGAACCAGCTCATGTTAGCTCTTTTCAACTCCTCTATCTGGCATGGGTCGGCTCTGTGGCTAAGTCGATGCGAACGCTTCGCTTCGTAATGACAGGTTCGATCCCAGCTGCGGGCAATGCACCTTGCGTTGGTTTCGACAGTGGTATCAAAAAAGCCAACCATCCAGAAAGCAATGGCAAACTACTGGATGTAAATTGCCTAACCACACAACAGCCAGGGTTGGTTCTGCAACGTCCTATAAAGGATACGCAACTAACTTTATCTGGCATGAAAATGGAGCATTTATAGGATGGTCCATTTGTCCTGAAGTTTGAACTGCAATTTACTGATGATTATTATGTTCATGTTAATAATACTTGTAATATATAGAATAAATTAATATTTACACATCTGTTCAAAAATGACCGTGGCTACCGGCCAGCTTTAAATGGGTACCAGGTAAAGTCCTGGGAAGAAAAGGCAGCCAGCATGATATTGACCACATACCCACCGAGTGTCTATGGTAGATGCAATTTATGTCTAGCCCTATATGCCTGAAGATGTGAAGAAGGGTCTTTTAGTTATTCTGTTTGTTAGCTTTGCTAAGACTGCAATCTGTGCCAGTTTTTTCCCCCACAAGAGACACCAATAAGCATTCTGTATGGTCTTAGCTGGCATGGACACAGAGCAGTTATAGGTTGGCCCATTTGTTTGAAAGTTACACCTGCAATTAACTGATGATTATTGTTCATGTTTCCCAGCTGGACCCATCCTTGAGTGGGTACAAGGTGCAGTCCCGGGAAGTAAAGGTGGCCGGCGTGATGCTGACCACATCCCCCCCATCATGTGCCGATTGGTCTGTAAAAATATAGGTCTAGCCCTATATGCCTAAAGGCGTAGAAAAGGGACCTTTACTTTTATTATTCATGTTAACAATGTTTTTAATATATAGAATAAATTAATATTTACACACCAGTTCACCATATCGGCTCATTTGATTACCTATGTTAGTTGCGTATCCTTTACATGAAGTTGCAGAACCAACCCCAATGGCCCCTGGCTGTTGTGTGGTTTTTCTAGGCAAATTTACGTCCAGTAGTTTGCCATTGCTTTCTGGACGGTCGGTTTTCTTGATACCACTGTCGAAAACAACTCAAGGCGCATGGCCCGCAGCTGGTATCGAACCCGGCATCCCGAAGCTGATTACCTAGAATATATTATTATTATTAGGACTGACAAGACTGGCAAAAAGTTTGGTTGCATTATCTTCATAAATTTGCAAGTATTGATCAGCTCTCATAGAAGCAGAAGAAATAAATAGAGATACAAAGATGCACAAGAAAGACATAAAATCTGAAATTATGGTTGGTTTGTTCATAGTTTAGGTGACATCAGATAGGTGGGATGGTTGGTTCATAGGTTAGGTGACATCAGATAGGTGGGATGGTTGGTTCATAGGTTAGGTGACATCAGATAGGTGGGATGGTTGGTTTATCAGTTAGTTCATAGGTTAGGTGACATCAGATAGGTGGGATGGTTGGTTTATCAGTTAGTTCATAGGTTAGGTGACATCAGATAGGTGGGATGGTTGGTTTATCAGTTGGTTCATAGGTTAGGTGACATCAGATAGGTGGGATTGGTTCATAGGTTAGATGACATCAGATAGGTGGGATGGTTGGTTCAAAGGTTAAGGTGACATCAGATAGGTGGGATGGTTGGTTTATAGGTTAGGTGACATCAGATAGGTGAGATGGTTGGTTTATAGGTTGGATGATTGGTTCATAGGTTAGGTGACATCAGATAGCTGAGATGGTTGGTTTATCGGTTGGATGATTGGTTCATAGGTTAGGTGATATCAGATAGGTGGGATGGTTGGTTCATAGATTAGGTGATATCAGATAGGTGGGATGTTTGGTTCATAGGTTAGGTGAAATCAGATAGGTGAGATGTTTGATACATAGGTTAGGTGATATCAAATAGGTATGATGGTTGGTTCATCAGTAAGTTAGGTGATATCAGATAGGTGGGGTGGTTGGTTCATCAGTTGGATGCATAATTGGTTAAATGGTTTGTTTCACTGTTTGGGTGATAGGTTAGATGGTTGCTTGTTTGGATGGCCAGTTCATCGGTTTGGTCGTTGATTCACTGGTTGGAAGTAGGTTGTTGTGTGTATGTATATCATTTGCCCCACGCCCACCCACACCAATGTGTTCTAGGTAAATATATAACTGATCTGTAATAGATAAGTGTCTAAAAGGGCCAAACATCAAATGACCCTGCAAGCCCAATTTGTGACCCTTGAAACAAGTTTTATTAGCACTCAATATACCTAAAGGCATGAAAAAGGGTTCTTTAGTTTACCTGAGCCGACGCTCAACACCTAAGGGGAAGGCGAGATGGATGTACAATCAGACAGTTACTCGCACCATCGGAACTGGAACTTCATTTGCTGCTGAAGATGGGGAGAAAGCCCTAATAGGAGTGTCCTGAGTGCTACTAAAATCCTAATTTAACCTTTTAAGACTTTTCCCAGCATTCACTTTCAACCTACTTCCCAGTTCCCACTCAAACATAATTTGAAGAGCATATCTCCAAGCCTAAACAAATCAGGTTGACTGCAATGAATCTGCTGCTAACTATGGGGCGAGACCCCAATCTCTTCCACAATGCAATTCTCGTAACACTGTCTGCAAGCCAAAAATATTTTTTTTCTAAAACCCTAACATGGGAATTGAACCTTGGTTAAAAAAAAAAAAGGTTCATGTTGCCTTTATCAAAGTTAGATTCCTTTGACGGGGTGGGTATGAGTGAGGACTTCAAGGTGAAACCATTTCACTAATTTTAAGACACGTAGTCGCACATCAAATATGAAGGACACATCACAACAACTTTCCAGCCATTTTGTTTATTCATATACAACCTTAGCAAACATTCACAATGGACAAACTGTATGAACAGGCAAAACTATCGAAACACACACTAAACCAGTGGCTCTCAACCTTCCTAATGCGGCGACCCTTAAATGCAGTTCCTCATGTTGTGGCAACCCCCAACCATAAAATTAATTCCATTGCTACTTCATAACTTCAGTGAATATATGTTTTCCCATGGTCTTTGGCGACCCCTGGGAAGGGGTCGTTCGACCCACAGGTTGAGAACAGTTGCACTAAACTATGTTGACTAAAAACATCTTCTGCTCTTTACTCCGTCAAAATAGTTGTCAGTCTTCACATACCAGGATAGTCAGAAGTATAGCTTCAGGTCCCAGTCAGTGTTTGTCTCACCACATAGGGTCCACTTGCCCCTGCCCCCCCCCCCCCCTTAGGGCCCCGTGCTGCTCTAAGTATGTCAAGTGGCTTGCCTTAATGGTTGTCGCAGGGGCCCCAGCACACTGATTTGTCTAGGGGCCTATAATGGTGTGAACATGGCTTGACTTTTCACAGCCCTGCCGTTCATGCTGTGATGTGAACAGTGAGTAGTTTCTTCGAAGTTCACTCTTAAAAAGGCGGTTGACACATTGCACTGCGCCGAATGTTGTACAAGGTGACTGTTTAACAAGGTGTCTCTTTTGAGTTTATAGCACATTTGCTTGAGAGGCGAGGAACCAACAGTCTGCATACAAATCAGCCAGTTCTGAAAAACGGTTGCATATACAAAACTCAAGTATTAGAACAAGGACATAGTCCAGAAGTGGATGTACAACCAGAACTCTACAGCCAGTGAAAGAAGAAGACTTGATATATAAATACATGAAAAGAATAAAGACTGTGATAACAATAAACAAAATACAGAATAGAAGATACTAGAAATATAAAGAAATGACAGCGAAACAGAAATTACAAGTGATATGCAGAATATCAGCTTGGTAATGTAAAGCATAGAAATATCATCTATTTACAAATATGGTTTAAAGAAACAGCCAGAGCTATACTGGCGGACTGGATATTGACAATTAGGCATATTCAGGTGGGACACACACAAAAATGATCAAACTTGCCAGAGTTACTTGTTTTGCAGAATTATTAAATTTTTTTTTTTAAGCTTTTTAAGAAGAAAAAAACAGTAGTCTGATTAGCTGGCTGGACAAAGGAGTGAGAATGGCCAGACCCTCTGGCATTCACCCAGGCTCCGTCCTCATCTTCTCTCCAGAGTTCCTGATGGTAATCAATCTTGTGTCTTGCCTTTCCTTTGAGTGTAGTGAGCTGGCCAGACCCTCTGGCTACACCCAGGTGCCTCATTCTCTCCAGACCATAATAATCTTTTTGTTACTGATTCCGTTTCTTGTTCCGGAAGAGCCTTGACCCCATCTGCCTTGTCATGTATCCAATCACCAACTCAGTGGTGCAGATCCAGCCAATCTGTCTGCCTGTTGGTTGGACGAAGGAGACAACAAGTACGCAATCAATGAATGGCAATTCCAACTGCACAGCAAATGGGTCACCACAGTGCTGTGCCAACAAAACAATTGCACAGAATGCTCATCACTGTTCCTTGTGGGTTAAAAACAAAGTACCTGACACATGATCAGAAGGGTACACAAGTTTGGGGAAGACTAAGAAATGAGATGTACCAGTACCACTTAACAAAACAAACAAGAAAAACAAAACCAAAAAAGTCGTGGCCCTAAAGAAATTGCAGGGAAACCCCTTTATATAAATATTTTTTTTAAAGTAACAAATTGCACAGGTCACTAATAATTTTTTAAATTGTATCTACATTTAACTTTTCATCTCATAGAGTGAAAGAATGGAGTACCCTCCCTAACAGCCTAAAAAAAATGGTATGTTTTACTGATGTTTACAGGAAAAATTATGTCAACTTAAAAAAAAAATGCTATTTGCTTCACAAAAAAGCGCCCTAAATGCTAATTTAGTAACTATATTCATATTCTGACCTAGCAAATGTTTGCACAGGATTGACTTAAGCTGATAGCATTAACCAAGCATCTTCTACACAAGCAACTTTATACAAGTAGGAAAAGTGACATTTATGGGAAATTTGACCCCACCTGACGCGCCGGTTTTGCTGCTTTTTGGGGCCACAGGGTTAAAAATAAAATCATGATTTGAATTACAGATTATACCAGAATGCAGCCAAATACAACATGATACATCATATATGGTCAAACATACACAATGTGAACTTCAAAAATATAATATTATAAATGTGACTGTATGTACACATATTCTCCCTAAGCACGGAATCGTAGGCCACATCACAGATCACTGCTGTTGTGTTTTTCCTTGAGTCGCTGGGAAAACCTTGGAGACTGAGCTTCTGTTAGAGGCTTGTCACTAGGCTTGACAATCACGCTTTTATATCTGTGGACAGGAATTGTGAAACTATATTGCCAAGCAATGAAATTGTGATTCATGAGAATACACGAAAGCAAAGGAAAACTAAAAGGACCTTTGTCTTAAAATTCTTTCCTAAATACCTGTATGAGGAGAGAATGATGCAGCGTGGGAGTGCCTGAGGGCTCTGGGCACCACTCGTGACTCAGGGGAAAAGGCAAGAAGAGTAGTTGAGTAGGTTATCAACTGGTACCCTCATTATAAAGAATCATTGCTGGCTGTCGGGGAAGGGAGACAGAGCTCATATATGCTTATCCTAAATGCTGTGATGTCAAATTGTTATCCAGGTCAACCCAATTGAGTTGAGTCAAGAATGGACATGCGCTCCGTCACCTTCAGCAACCAGCGCAGAGTTCCAATACTGATGGTGCCGGTCACAATATGGTTATATGTCCGTCTTGTCTTTCCTGTGAGTGTAGTGAGCCGGCCAGACCCTCTGGTTACATCCAGGTGCCTCATTCTCTCCAGGCCATTATAATCTTTCTCTACTGATTCCTTTGCTTGTTCCCTAATGGCTTTGACCACATCTGCCTTGTCATGTATCACTTCACCACCCAGTGGTGCAGATCCAGCCAATCTGTCTGCCTGTTCATCTCCCATCATGCCAGCATGGCCTGGAGAAAAGATCAAAAGTATGCTCACTACCCGTGATCTTTCCAGTGAAGCTTGCCACTCTGCTCGAAGCATCCCAGTCTTTACCTTTCTCAGCATGCTTTCAGAGTGTTAGAATTACGATATGTGTATGCATGTTCTCTAGCCATCGGAAAGCTGCAGTTACCGCCTTCACCTCTATTCTCATGCTAGATGTAGTGTCGTGTGCCAGGCTGTCTTGCACTAAAGATTTTCCACTGGCTTTTGCTACGAACCCCCAGGCACTTCATTTTCCTCTCAACACTAAACCATCTGTATAGATAATCAGATAACCTGGGCGTGAATCAACTGTTGGACTTACACCTCCGTAGCACCCGCTGGCCACTCTCTGCACACCCAGTCCGTTACAGGTAAACCCAGATATTCTCTACTTCCCCTTAGTGGCCCGGATAAATGTGTCCATCAAAGAAGCAACTACTGATCTTTTGCGCTCACCCTCAGTTGGCACTTGTGTTGCGGTATACAGCAAGGTCAGATATCTGCGCCCGTCTGACCCAGCACATCTGATTTTTTTTAAATCCACAATTTGTCTTTTTAACGTACATGCTACAGGCAATACCCTCCTTCCCCATATGGAGATGAACCATCTGCCTGTTCATTACCCACCACGCCGGCATAGCCTGGAGAAAAGATCCAAAGTAAATGTGCCTGAAATCACAACGACGAAATCATTAGGTCTTACTTTCTAATGCTGTTGGCTCTATGAACAGCCTGCATCCTCATCCTGGCAACGGCTGCTTTCTCCTCCTTCTCCAGCCGCTCCTCTCGCTGTCTCTTCAAAGCCTCCATCTCAGCCTCTCTGGCCTTGAGGTACTGGTCAAATGCCTCCCTCTGTGAGGCACGGACGTCGGTGTTCAAGTGTAAATTCACTCTCTCTGCAAAGAGACAATCATCTTCTATACAAAGCAGGTAAAACTGACAATTTGTTTACTCAACCGAGGACACTCCAATGTCAGTTCATCATGCATTTGTGGAGATCAGAAACACAATATTTCTTTATGGGATGGGGCGCAAATGTTAATATGAGCAAGGAAAAGTTTTCACTACTATGTTTCGGTAGAAATTACATATTTTAATACAGCAGGAGATATTCTTCAATTCTCTTTTATTCTGTTTACTCTTAAGTTAGATTTTTTTTTCTTTATTTAAAAAAAAAAAACCAAAAACATATTTTCAGTTGTCTTATTTATTTTCTATGATTTCTTTAAGACAGCAGGAGAAATTCTTCAATTATCTTTTAGTCTGTTCACTCTTAAGCTAGATTTTTTTTTATTTTTAAATACTCCGAAAACATATCTTTAGTTGTCGATTTAGTTTCTATGATTTCTCTAAGACAGCAGGAGAAATTCTTTAATTATCTCTCAGTCTGTTCACTCTTAAGTTAGACATTTTCTTACAAAACACAAAAAATTCTCTACAGAAAACAAAAATACTCAAACTCTCTATTTTTTTTTTTTTTTACAAACAGAATTAATTTTTTTTTTTTCATATAAAAACCCAGAAAGTCTTGAAATTTCATTCCATGTTATATATATTTTCTTTCATAAAGAAGGGAAAAGTCTTGAATTCTTCTCTGTGTTAAACTTTTTTTTTCTAACCTGCTTTTAAGCATAGCAATAAACTCTAGAAGTCCTTATCTTAAATACGCAGCAGTTGATTTTCTTTCTAATGACAGTCAAAACATAAAGCTCTTCGTTAAGAACAAAATCTAGAGACCAGTGTATTCAAAAAATAAATTTTTTTAAATCTGACTTCTGAATTTCGTGCGTGGTGGGGGGAAAGGGGGGGGGGGGGGGGGGGGGGGGGGGGTCAACATTTAAAGAGCCATATTTAAATGCATGTGAAAAGTCATTACATAAAGACACACGAACAAGTCTGTATTGATCGACACTGACAGAAATCTTCTTTTGTCCTTCTGTTGACGCTGTTGAGCATCGCAGAGCTGTGAGATGTAGTTTCCTATCTTTCGATAGTTGCTTTGCTTGTGTCAGTGCATTAATAAAGGTGCACACAACACAAGACAATGTCTATTGCCTCCTCTTACTCAAGCCCACCTCAACCCCACATGATGGACCCTGTTTTCTCCAGCAATCCAGTGGAAGGCTAAGGATCTTAAGCCTCAGTAGAAAACTGGATAGGACAACAAACAAGGAATGAGCCCACTCTCACTCTAAAGAGATTCAATCAGGGAAGTGATCACAAAGAGCAAATCTCCGTGTGGGTTTCAAGGCCCCACTGTGGGGGGCGGGCGCGAGAATAGTCCCACAGCCTACCCAAAAACATGTCGTAAGAGTTGACTGATTGGGGGGCTTTCTCGGAAGACGGAGTGCATCTGCCTGAGAGGGGGAGGATCCAACAGTCTGCATACACATGAGTCAGAACACCCAAGTTCTGGAGCAGGGCTAAGGTTCCGAACTTTCCCCGAGAGTTTACAGCTGGTGAACAAGAAGAAGAAAAGGAGACAACTTTTCTTTAGAAAATAAACAGGTGGAATCAGTTCACACATTTGGACAAGAACGCAAAAGTTAAGCGGCCATACTTAAACTGCACCAACTAGAGGGCCCTTTTTGTAATGAACATCAGGTGTGCTGTCCTGGATCACTGAAAGAGCTTAAATCCAGATTTGGCTAAGCAGGACATACATTGTGATAATCTGACAACAAAACAACTGAAAATAGATATGACACACACTGTGATAATCTGACAATAAAACAACTGAAAATAGATATGACACACACTGTGATAATCTGACAATAAAACAACTGAAAATAGATATGACACACACTGTGATAATCTGACAATAAAAACAACTGAAAATAGATATATGACACACACTGTGATAATCTGACAATAAAACAACTGAAAATAGATATGACACACACTGTGATAATCTGACAATAAAACAACTGAAAATAGATATGACACACACTGTGATAATCTGACAATAAAACAACTGAAAATAGATATGACATACACTGTGATAATCTGACAATAAAACAACTGAAAATAGATATGACACACACTGTGATAATCTGACAATAAAACAACTGAAAATAGATATGACACACACTGTGATAATCTGACAATAAAACAACTGAAAATAGATATGACACACACTGTGATAATCTGACAATAAAACAACTGAAAATAGATATGACATACACTGTGATAATCTGACAATAAAACAACTGAAAATAGATATGACACACACTGTGATAATCTGACAATAAAACAACTGAAAATAGATATGACATACACTGTGATAATCTGACAATAAAACAACTGAAAATAGATATGACATACGTTGTTGAAATCTGATAATAAAACTGAAAACAGATAGCACATACATAGTGAAAATCTGACAATAAAACAACTGAAAATAGATATGACACACATTGTGAAAATCTGATAATACAATTGAAAACAGATAGTACATACATAGTGAAAATCTGACAATAAAACAACTGAAAATAGATAGGACACACAATGTGAAAATCAGAACATTTCTGACACAGGAACAAACCAGGTAAATAAAAACAATTTGACGGGAGACCACAAGTACAAGAGAAAAGATAGAGGTGAATTTGGTCAAACAAGACATGGGAATGGTACTTGGATGGGGACATAAGGAAGTCAGGCTTGCTGACTAAAATGTGAAAAGTAAAACAGCATACTATGGGACAGGAGTCATCGTGGCAGAGCGGCTAGATGCTCGCATGCAGGTCGGAAGTTCGTGGGTTCGCTCCCTGGGGCAGCCAGACTTTATTTCGAAAATGACCTTGGTTTCCAGCTCAACCTAGCCTTGGGTGGGTACCAGGTGCAGTCCCAGGAAGTAAAGGCGACCGACGTGATGCTGACCTCATCACCCATCTTGTGCCGATTGGTCTAAAAAAATATAAGTCTAGCCCTATATGCCCTATGGTGTTAAAGGCGTAGAAAAGGGTCCTTTACCTTATTTATATTATGGGACGGCGGCAATTCACAGAAAAGGAGAAAGCCCACATCATGTGGTACTTTGCAACAAAAAGAGTTAAGACTGTCACTCACCTGTCAATGGCTTTGTAGATTTGACCGCGTGGAATGGTTCCTTGTGTATGACATTATTAGGTCCCGCTTTAAAGTTGGCAATCTCATGGGCAAGTCTCTCCTCCTCCTCTACCTGTGTTCAGAGAGATCTGGCCATTAAGATTCATGTTCAAGAAGTCATTCGATACTTCAACAATCAGGAAAGAAATCTGACAATTCAACAATCAAGGTTTGTCAGAAAATATAGCCAGATAATTCAACAATCAAGGTTTGTCAGAAAATATAGCTAGATAATTCAACAATCAAGTTTGTCAGATAATGTAGCTGGATAATTCAACATGAAGGTTTGTCAAAAAATATAGCCAGATAATTCAACAATGAAGGTTTGTCAGAAAATACAGCTAGATAATTCAACAATCAAGGTTTGTCAGAAAATATAACAATCAAGGTTTGTCAGAAAATATAGCTTGATAATTCAACAATCAAAACATGCTGGGAAAGAGTTTTGATAATCTAACAATCAACATATACTGCGGGAAAAAAGATGCAGATTTTTTTTTTAAAGTATCCAGAAACAATGAGCTGTTAACCCTTTGGCTTGAACTATGGATATCACAACCCTTTGGCCTCAATTCTATGATAGATACCGTAAATCTGGGAGAAATGTGGCTTTTCTGCCTACCACAAGGCGTAAACCCAGACCACAAGGAGTTTGTCACCTGGTTGCCACAAAGTCAGATTTAACCAACTTCGATAGCAAGCCGGGCATCCGATAATAATAAAAAAAAACTCAAGAAAGGTCGGGAAAGAGATCTGATAATTCGTCAGTCAAGACATGTCCAGGAAGTGAGTGACTCCATAGTTCAACAATGTGTGCCATACTAAAATTCAAACACCTGGGGAGCAACTGTAAGAAGATACTATGAAAAGCATATGATGACATAATACAAGGGAGCTTCAACAGAAAACTGTTAGTATGACAGAAATTATATAACAATCATGTCACTGTCTTGTAACCAGTCAGTATTGTTAAGGATGTCAAGAGTGTTAAGTGCGTAACAACAGGCGAACACAGTGACATCATAATGACAGTTCAAAGGTGACTACCCCACTTTTGAAACACACCAAAGAGCAGCAATGGTGAGCTAACCACCAAACCATTGACACAAATTCCTTCTAGTACCTCTTCCCCTCCCCCTTTTTTGGTACAGCATACTCCAGCTGTCTCCCTTTCGTAATGTGCCTAATGAAGCTGGTTTATCTGCTTCTGAGATGGGACAATCAGATCTCTTTGACAATTAACATCAGCAAGATTACAATATCACATGAGGCACCACCAACACTGCAGCAACAGGCCACGGAGCATCTTCTGAATCTACAGTTCCCACCACATTGGTCAGTCAAAAAACACTGTAAATGAAATCTGCAACTCACAGTGTTGCACCACTCACTCAACTCCATAGCTGGGCGACGAAACTATATCCTTTCAGTATATTAATGGACGAAAATGCAACGTTCACTGTCTAGGAAAGTTACCGCGCAGACTGCCCATTTTGCTTCTGTCAATGATGAACATTATTTCCAATGTCGGACTGTTTGTGTTAGCACTTCTGATGGCTGCCTTATGCTTTTAATGTGTTGTGAGTCTGTGTCCATTTTTCCACAAGGAACATTGATGGACATTCTGTGTTTTTCACTGGCATAGAAGCAATTATGGGGCTGACCCATTTGCTATGAAGCTGAAACTAAGACCACAAGGATTACCACTAACATCCAGTGTGAGCAAATACCTAGCAAAGGTGGGCTGGCTGGCTGACTGACTACCAACCTTTGACATGAATTCCTTCTGATACTTCTCTCCCCTCTCGTCCACCTCCAAGTGGAAAGGCTCCGGCAGAGTTATGGGCCGTGTCTGCTTGGGCGGCAGCTTCCCCGGAGATTCACTCGGCAAATCCTGAGCATGAAACTCCCGTGCCTGTGAGAGAATTGCATAATCAAAAGTTAGCTGTGTATCCTCTACAAGAGAACTAAGTGAGCCAATTTAACTCTTAACATTTTGCAGTAAGAAAGAGGCAATGGCCACATAATGAGAAGAGAGACATTGGAGAACATCGTGACAACTGGAAAGATCAGTGGAAAAAGGGGTAGCGGCAGACCAAGACAGATGATGCTGGATGGGCTGAAACGATGGCATGGAGGGATATCATCAAGAGAGCTGTTCCACGCAACCAGGGATTGTGATCTGCGAAGACGCATGAGCACCTACGCCAGTTGGCAGGGCACATGATGATGATGAGTTCACAACTGTACTCTTAGGGAGCCGCCAGCTTGTAGCATCTAGACGCTCGCCTGCGGATCAAAAGGTCCTGGGTTCAAATCTAGAGGAAGACGAACTAGTTTTCTTTTAAAAAAATTACCTTGGCTCCCAGGTCGAGGAACCAGGTCAAGTCCTGTGAAGTAAGGGCGGCCAGCATGACACTGACTCCATCACCTAATGATCTATAAAATATAGGTCTAGTCCTAAAGGCTTGGGAAAGGGTCCTTTCCTTCACTTGTTCCTTACCAGGAACCTTCCCAGCTTCACTGGGAAGGTCACAGGTTGTGAGCATACTTTGGATCTTTTTTCCAGGCCATGCCGGCATAGTGGGTAATGAACAGGCAGACAGATTGGCTGGATCTGCACCACTGGGTGATAAATTGATACATGACAAGGCAGAGGTGGTCAAGGCCCTTTGGGAACAGGCAACGGAATCAGTAGAGAAAGAAGCACTTGGAGAGAATGAGGCATCTGGATGTAACCAGAGATTCTGGCCGGCTCACTACACTCAGAGGAAAGGCAAGGAGTTGGAATTAAACCCCGCACCTGGGCATTACAAAGTGCAAAACCTAAGCCGTGGATGCCCCTAAAAAGAATGTCGTAAAAGGCGAGGAATTAGGGATGCTTCCTCTGAGGTCGAAGTGCAACTGCCTGAGGCCAGGAAACATTCGCCTGCATGCAAAGAAGCCAAATCTGCATCATTGGTTTTTTTTTGTGTGTGTGTGAAACATGCATGCAAAACTCTAGTTCCACAAGCAGACATACGACCAGAACAGAGTTTACGGACGGTGAATACTAAGAAAAAAAAGATGATACAACTCATTTCCTCAACAAACTGATAGTCTCATTCAATAACTAACTGCCAAAATCCCCAACCTCACTGAGGGTTCGAACAAGGGTCTCCTGCATGAGAGCAAAGCGTTCTAACCATTCGGCCAGCCACTTCGCTATAACACAGTCACTTTTTTTTTTGGTTAACTGACCTTTTTCTCTTCCTCCAGAATCTGTTGAATTTTGTGCTCTCTGCGAGTCAGCATCTCCCGGCTGCGCTCCTCGACAGCAAACGGCTGGGGAACTGTGTACTGGTGAAGCAGCTGAGGCTTAAATGGAAGCCCCATGTGGGGCACGGGGTTCGCCTTGACCAGCTCTTTTGTGTCCTCCTGCTGAAATGACAAAAAAGAATTTGAAATATGGTAATCAGTTTGTCCCTTATTAGGAAAATTTAAAAAAAAAATTGCCAGTGAAAGAGAAAGCTGCTTGCACTTTTAAACTCTAATTCAAAATCATTTTTGCCGTATGGAGCTGAAACACGGGAAACAACTGAAACAATTATTACCATGCTAAAAGAATACTTTACCTCAAATGTTGAACTCTAATTCAAATCATAACTGCCTTAGGGAACTGAAACATGGGGAACAGCCAAAACAGTTACAAATAAACTACAAACATTCACTAACTGGTGTTTGCACAGAATACAGGAAAGTAAATGGTATGACAGAATCATTAATATAAAACTTTGGAAAAGAACTAAATCAATTCCAGTAAATCAAGAGGTGAAGACAAGAGGCTGCCCTCAGATAGGACCTCAAAACAAAAGAACTAGAATGTTTTTGTAATGGAACCCAAAGGGTCAGAAATAAAAGGTAGACTAAAACAAAAAACAATATGGAGAACGAAATTTGAGAAGAGAGTTAAAAGAAGACATACAGTGAGCTGTATGCGATAGCAAAGAATAGGATATAGAGTGCGTTAAATTAGGGCAGACTCTCCACTCAGAGACAAGGGACAGAAAAACAGATACTCCCAGTGAAACATGTCATACAGAATGCATACTGTTGACTGAGACAATAATATAATGGACGGACAAAAACACACACATAAGACAAAGAAATATCAAAACCGTCAAATGAGTTGGGATACCAAATGTGAAGAGTACAACATTTATTTCAGCATGTTAAAGGAGAGGAAAAAATAAAAACCGACAGTTTGGAAACAATTAGTAGAAATTTAATGAAATGGGTCCCTGTGTGGGTTACAGGGCCCCACTGTGTGTGTGTGAGGGGGTGGGGGGGGGGGGCAGACTCACTCACTGCCTCCCTAACAAGCATGTCATGAGACTTACTAAGGATGTTTCTTTCGAAGTCAGAAGGCATCCGCCTGACAGGTGAGGGACCAACAGTCTGCATACAAATAAGCCAGATCTGTGCAAGCAAACCACAGGTGTTCTGGAAGAACTAAAGTCCAGAAGTAGATGAACAACCAGAACTTTTCACAGGAAAACTACAGCCAAAGACAAGATTCCAAAAATTAAATGACTTGAGCACATAACTAGCACGGGACTTCTTTTCGTTCACCCGAGTCACGTGATTGCATTGTGCCTGTTAACAGCAAAGCAGCCATATTTGCGCCTTTCAAAAGACACATCCGACTTCACTGAGCATTGGTTGGCCAGGCTAACTTCCCGAGCTTGTTTAGGGGGAAAAACTGCCTGATCCAAGATTCTAGTAATTGTGAGAGATAAACCAAACAACAATAAGGCATAGGGCACAGAAAGTTTGCCTTTTCAAGGGAAGGGCGGGTCTTGGGTTAGAGTCGGGAGGAGCAACTCCACTGCACCAAGTCATCCTATACAGTTCAGTTTCTCTCTTTACCGCCTGTCGAGAGACATACAAAGCAAAAAGTGGCTCTCATGTAGATAGCAGGGATCTCTGCATAGGCTACACCAGTGAACTGAGCAGCGCATCCAAGAATTAAGCCCACAGACTTCACATCGTTGGGAAAACGGTTAGATCACCTCACCATCTGCTGACGGTGACAACAGCAAGACTTAATAAGCTACTCACCTTTGGCAACTCTAATGGGATTCGAACCCTATTTTTTAAGGCAAATGCTGGTGACTCTGGGATGGTTACTGGCTTTGGTTCCACAGATTTCACACCCTGCCGAGAGAAGTGACCACACAAATATCATCAAGCATTTCCAATGTGAGGTCACAGAGATTGCCAATGAAACATGAAAATATTTAAAGAAATATTACTGTTTGTGTGAAATTACAAGATTAGTTCAGTGCAGATAACCGCATTACACAGGACATTTTCTTGGTGTTCCTTCTCCCTTATTTTTACACACACACACCTCCGTTTTTTTGCATGCAGTTCCTAATGTCTTTCGTAACTTTTTAACTTCATTCTCTATTTCCCTTCTCTGCGTCGCCTTTTTTTTGTGTGTGGAAAGGGGGGGGGGCGCTCTCCTTTTTTTTATGTCCCTATGGGCTTCAGGTTTCCCAAACATGTGTCCTTTCCAATGCTAGCATCTTTTCTTCACTGGAGTTTGTCTAGTTCTCTTCTGAAGCTTCACATTAGTGACCTATCATATCACTTGAACATTTTCTTCTCACGGTCCATGCCGTGTTGTGTTGGTAATCATGTCCATCCATAACCTGTCTCGTGCACTTTCAGTCAATTCTGGCACAGATGATCCTCCATGCCATGATGTCAAAACCATCCATCATCTTCTATCTCCGTCTCCCTCTGCCTCTCTTCCCCTCCAGCTTTCCTACTGTCACGATGTACTCCAGGTTTCTCCTTCTCATGAAATGACCAAAGAATCTAGATTGTCTCTTTCTGATGTGGGCAATCAATTCTCTTTGTAAGCCAGTTTCTTTCAAAACATCTTCACTACTCTTTGTATCTGTCCAGAGTATTCTCATCATTTATCAATAAAACCACATCACATGATTCACTTCCATATATCAGGATAGGATTTATAAAGCTTTAAAGAATTCTCTTTCTAGTTTGAACTGACTGAGAAAAACCGTATAGAACGTTTTTCATTTTGTAAAATGTTAACTTTGCTTGAGCTATTCTACATTTAACTTCAATACATCTTCCAATTGATGTTATCAAGGTACACTTACTTAATTACTTAGACGCTCTTTGGGGTGTAAAGGTTTGCCAGAGAGATCGCCAGACTCCTCTATCAGCATTTTTCTTTCTGGCTTTGTTCCATTTCAGTGCTCTGTCAGTCGGGGACTGTCAAATGTTGTCTTCCCAGCGGACCTGGGTCACTCTGGAGGTCTGGTTCCCTGTTTCTTAGAGGACCTGGGTCCCTCTGGGGGTCTGGTTCCCTGGTTCTTAGAGGACCTGGGTCACTCTGGAGGTCTGGTTCCCTGGTTTTTAGAGGACCTGGGTCACTCTGGAGGTCTGGTTCCCTGGTTCTTAGAGGACCTGGGTCACTCTGGAGGTCTGGTTCCCTGGTTCTTAGAGGGCCTGGGTCACTCTGGCGGTCTGGTTCCCTGGTTCTTAGAGGACCTGGGTCACTCTGGAGGTCTGGTTCCCTGGTTCTTAGTGGACCTGGGTCACTCTGGAGGTCTGGTTCCCTGGTTCTTAGCGAACCTGGGTCACTCTGGAGGTCTGGTTCCCTGGTTCTTAGAGGACCTGGGTCACTCTGGAGGTCTGGTTCCCTGGTTCTTAGAGGGTCTGGGTCACTCTGGAGGTCTCGTTCCCTGGTTCTTAGAGGATCTGGGTCACTGGAGGCCTGGTTCCCTGGTTCTTAGAGGATCTGGGTCACTGGAGGCCTGGTTCCCTGGTTCTTAGAGGATCTGGGTCACTCTGGAGGTCTGGTTCCCTGGTTCTTAGAGGATCTGGGTCACTCTGGAGGTCTGGTTCCCTGGTTCTTAGAGGACCTGGGTCACTCTGGAGGTCTGGTTCCCTGGTTCTTAGAGGACCTGGGTCACTCTGGAGGTCTGGTTCCCTGGTTCTTAGAGGACCTGGGTCACTCTGGAGGTCTGGTTCCCTGGTTCTTAGAGGGTCTGGTTCCCTGGTTCTTAGTGGACCTAGGTCACTCTGGAGGTCTGGTTCCCTGGTTCTTAGAGGGCTTGGGTCACTCTGGAGGTCTGGTTCCCTGGTTCTTAGAGGACCTGGGTCACTCTGGAGGTCTGGTTCCCTGGTTTTTAGAGGATCTGGGTCGCTTTTGGAGGCCTGGTTTTTAGAAAACCTGGGTCACTCTGGAGGTCTGGTTCCTTGATTTTTAGAGGACCTGGGTCACTCTGAAGGTCTGGTTCCCGTGATGGAATTTGCTCCCATTTCTCGCACACGTTATCAGGGTACCCAAGTACTTAAACCTACCAACGTGCTTGAACATCTACATTTCAAAATGTTATCACAACCACTAGTACAGGCATCACTATCTACTCAATACTCACCACCGGTCCAGCCAGAATCCTGGGATTCACCGGCCTGGCATGGAACTCATGCCTTTCCTCTGCCTCACTGCTGCCAAGGCTGCTGATGCTAGCAGAATGCTGGGAGTGCAAGTGGAACTCCTCAACAACTGTGGCGGCTTTAGGTGCTACAGCGGGCACTTTGGGGGCTTCAAAAACTCTGGGGTTGACTGGATGTGCTTTAAACTGCTGTCTGAAAATGGCAACGATCTGTTATAGTGTATAATAGACAGACATACAGACAGAGAATGTGTTGGATATTTTCTCTAGGTCATGCTGGTGTGTTGGGAAATGAGCAGGCAGATAGACTGGCCCGTTCTGCACCACTTGGTGGTGAATTGATGTACAACAAGCTAGATGTTGTGAGGGCCCTTTGGGAGTGCATGAACAATGCGGAGGCAAAAAAAGATGATTACGGTCTGAGGAGAGTGGCCCTGCGAGGAGTTACCTGGGAATCTGGCCAACACGTAAGGCAAAGGCGAAACGGATGTACAATAAAGAAAGTTACTGGCACCAATGGAATAGGAACTCTTTGCTGGCTGCTGAAGTTGGGGACGTAGCGCTTATGGGAGTGTTCCAAGTGCTATGATGTAGATTCTAAATTCAACAAGACAATGTACTGATTGACCCCTTACTATGGAAACAAGTGTATTAAGAAACAACCAACTAGGCACCCCTAAAAGAAAAAAAGGTATCTTCATTGGCCATGTCTATCGTACAGCCTGAAATCAACAACCAGGGAATATGGTCAGAATTCATCTAGAACCATCGAAATGGCACCATAGGTTACAGAAATTTACAATAACCAAGCATAGGTTGAATAAATAAACACAACAATTATACACATATAGGACCTACATGTTATGTCTAAACATTTACCTACATAGAAAGAATAAATATTTCTGCATGAAAACAATGTTTATATATACAATACACAACCCAGAGGAGTAGCAGCAGCCAATCTATCAGGTTGCTCATTACTCCACACACCAGAATATTCTGAAGAGATAACCCATGACATCCTCCAGATCAGAATCGTATCCCTCTAGGCATAAGACACTAGTTCCTCCAATAACTATCACTGCTTTTTTTTAAAAAAAAAAGTTTGATGTGTGTCCACCACACACATGTTTAGGCACAACTGGAGTTATGCTTGTAACGACAAGAGTAACTTATTTCTTCTTTTGCCGTCTTACTGTCACCAGGTTTTAATCCAGTGTCAAGGTTTTCTGTACTTGTTAAACTTTTGCAGGTTTCAGCTCCATCCATTTCTTGGTCTTCCTCTTGCCTTCCTCCCAGACGTACTCCTGTGAAAAGTCTTATTTATATGCAGTCTGGTCTGGCTGCATTCTCACTAGATGGCCGAACCATTTCATTCTGTGTCTGTCAATATAATCCAGACATGGTCTTATTCCAACTTTGTTTCTAATGCTGGTATTCGTAACCCTGTCTTGTATAGTGTTGTTAGTGACCTTGCGGAGACAGGGCATTCCACATGTACTTATTTTCTGTTCTAGTGTCCTACTGACTGTCTATGATGACAGTAACCTGTTTATTTTTCCTACGTATGGAATTTACGAGACTCCATGAACAACAAATCTCCCCCCCCCCCCCCCCCCCCCCCCGAAACTTTGAGGCTGTAACTGGAGGAAGACAAGAAGAAGAAAAAGAAGAAATTGCTTACTTTTGATGCTCCTCAAACTCCATCTGTTCCTGCTCTTCTCTAGACATAGCATGGACTGGCCTTGACCGCCCCCGGGTCGTCAGGTTCGGCGTTTTAGGTATTGTCATCTTTGGTGACTGTGACCTCATTCTTCCCGTTGTGCTGGAAATCTGGCTTTTAAGTGCAGAACGAGCTCTGTCTCTGCCACCTGGGGTACAAAGGTTTAGAGCCATAGCAAAATTTGAACATCAGCATCCATTTTATCCTATATGATATTCTTTCCAATATTTATCATTAGGAAAGGAAATTACCATGTATTATGGCCCACAAATCGTTTTACAAGTCTAACAAAAAGTCTTTCCAAAATTAAGGCCGACTTATATGGCTGGTAGGCGGTGTCCGTGGCTTAGGCGTTGTGAGTCGGACTCATAATTCAAACGTAACGCAATCTGCTGGCTGCGTAGATTTTTATCATGGTATGGGATGTCGTAGGTCGACCCAGCCTAAAATCTAAAATGGGTACCAAGATCTATATCCTCAGGAAGTAAAAACAGCCAGCATAATATTGACCACATTACCACTTAGTGCTGATTGGTCTGTAAAAATATGGGTGTCAGCCAGTCTATCTCTGCTCATTCCCCAACAAACCCACATAGCCTGGAAGAAAATATCCAAAGCATGCTAACATCAAATAAACAGCATTTTCTCAGAAACTGAAATATATTGGCTATATCTGAAAAAAAAATAATAGCAGAAGACACTGTGTCAAAAAAAAGTGGCAGAAAGCCAACCAGCAAAAAGAGGGGCACCCTTGAGGCTGTAGAAATATATATATAATAAACAGATAATGAATTGATCAGCTCTCTTAGAAAGAAGTACAAAGATAGAAGGACACACTACACATCATAAAAATCTAAAGCTATAGTTACTGAGCCGGGAATCAAACCCGGTCACCTTCAAATGTCGTCACGCCTCACTATGGAAACAGGTGTACTAAGAACAACAAGTATGCCGTAAAAGGTTACTAATTAGGGCTGCTTTCTTTAAAGTCGGAGTGCATCTGCCAGAGAAGTGATAAATCAACAGCCCGCACACAAATAAGCCAGACATGTAAAACAGATATGCGCAAAAAACACAAATTCTGGAACAAGGCCAAGTCCCAGAAGTGGACAAACAACAAGAACCTTCCGCTGGATTTCGCAGCCAGTGAATGAAAAGACGAAGAATGGGATCAGCTTCTGTTTGGATTCTTATCCAACTAACAAGTGAAGTCATTTAAGTGCTGAAATTTTATAAAGCATTCCAGGAGATAGGGGGACCCAAACAAAAAAAAAGGCCCAGACTCAGCTGTCTTACCATGAGGCTGAGATCTGAAACGATCAGGCGTCTTCCTGTGGAAAGCGGTGATGCGTTCAGCCACGGACTCGTATTTCTCGGCCTGAGACTGCGGAGCTGTGCTCTTGGTTGCTGTAAACTTGAAAGGCTTGAGGTGTGTCAGAGTATGGCCAGGTTTTGAAGGTAGCTGAAACAAGAACAAATTGTACACTGGCTTACTGAACTCAACATTCGGGAATCACTTGTGGGGTGTGGTACAGTTGCTAAAATATATCTATCCAATGAGGTAGAAAAGGTACTGTAGTGGTAGTCCAGTAGTCGAGGTTTAAATCGAACATAGAATCAGTTTCACCTCCGGTAGTTTGCACCAGGAAATGACCAGAAAAAAAGGTGCAACACTGTGAAATGTGGATTAGATCTAGGTTTTTTCTTTTGTGCCTGTGGTGTGTTGTTTGACTGCTCTAAAGCAGTGGGGTGATTACACACAGGACCGTCTTTTTTAACAGGTGCTTTCATGATTGACCATTTGCGATACCAGTGAGCTGCAATTCTGGCAGGGGACTGTTAGTGCTGGCACACCCTACAGCTGCCTTTTGCATCTGTATTTTGAGAGTTTAGGCTTCAAGATTTTGCTAGGACTGACAAGTTTTTTTCCCCTGCTACTTTTCAAATGAGACAGGGTGTCCCAGTGAAGGACATTGCGTGTGATTTCCACCCGCACAGGAATGGAGCAGTTATAGAGCGACTTGTCTGCAGAGATGTTGGAACCTCCACTAACTAATCATCATCATCATCAGTTCTCGTTATGCCTAGTGGCACATGAGGCTTCAGAGAGGACTTTCCGTGCTTTCCTGTCCTGTGCAATCTTCAATGCAGTTTTCCATGTCAAAGGTGCCGCACTCAGGTCACTTTCTATCGTTCGTCTCCATGTTGTTTTTGGGCGCCCCTGTTTTTATCTTTCCCTCTGTCACTAACTAATACTGCCCATAAAAAAAATCACCTCTGAAATCTGATGGTCTGATATGCAGGCTAGGTCCTGTACGTTTACTGCATCTATAAAGACATAGTTTGCACTTCTTTGTTCACCGGTTGAAAGCTCCGGCAGAAAATCCTGGTTGTTCATCCATCTGGACTTTGTGCAAGGACCTGAGTTTTGTGTGCACATCCATTTTTCTGGCTTATTTGTGTGCAGTTGGTTGTTCCTTGCACTATGACTTCAAAGAAAGCCCCCAATTAATATACTCCTACGACATGCTTGTTTGGGAGGCAGTGGGTCTATTCTTGTTCCCCTCCCCCCCACAATGGGCCCCCTGAACACACGGGAGGGGGGGGGGGGGCAGTGATTGTCTATCACCTATGAATTAATGTAGCCCAAAATATAGCAACACTGTAACTTGGCATGCATGTCAAAAGTGGCAACTAAGGAATATTGCAAGGCGAGCACCTTCTCTCTAAAATGTTTAGCTGTAAATGCAACTAATTATGAAAAGGCCAACAAAGTGTGGGCAGACTGAAGGTTACTGCTTGCACGTCTTTACTCTACTCCTGGAACGCCTCGCGGCATAAGGGCAGGAAGAGATATCTAAAACAGGCCCTTCTGTTCGCCTCATATAAAGTACTTTTCAGTGCTTGTGATATCTCTGTGGTCGACCTGTGGGTCTGTTACTGCTGTATAACTTTGCTCTCTGTGGTGCCCTGTCTGGGGTCAATCTTATTACACAACCAAATCATTTGGTTTGTTGTCTACCTATAAAATTCAGTACTGGTTCTGTGCCAACTCTCCTCCTGATAGCCTAAAAAATAAAACCAATTTAGCTGTGGAGGCAAGGTAGTTTTTGCCTATAGGGCCTCATGGTGGAGCAACTTTACTGAGGATCTGAGCCGGGAAAGACAACACCACATACTTACAGCTGGCATTGGTAGAGCTTCCCTCAGTTGCTTGGTAAAATCCTTCACTTTCTCTTCCTTCCCATGCCCCTCTGGGTTCTTGATTCTTTCATCTGTCTTAAAGTGGAAGCTCACGGTTAATGTAGGTGGCTGAGAGGAACGGAGTGGTATATAACCCTGAGCTGATATGGCTTTCTTGTAGGATTCCTGTATTGTGACATCAATTAAAACAAATTACCCACAAAAATTATTACCAATGCTGCATTTACACACAAAATCTAGATCAGTTTTTAAAACAAACAAACAAAACGAGTATCACATAAATCAAAAACTCATTTTACCTCAACACCCATATTTCAGTCAGCGCCTGTGGCTTAGGCGTTGCAAACACACTTCTAATGCCGGGGTGCCACGTTTGATCCCAGCTGCAGACTGGTTGTCTTGCGTTGGTTTTGACAGTGGTTCCGTTTAGAATGCAATGGCAACTACTGAATGTAAAATTTGCCTAGAAAAACTACAACAGCGAAAAAAATTTGAGGCTTGGTTCTGCAAGGTTCTGTAAAGGATATGCAACTAACCTTTTCTTAAACCCATATTTAACAGTATTACAAATTATACAGCTCTTATCTCAAACGCATAAATAATACTCATATATAACAATACCCCCCCAAAAACTCAACTTTTATCTGAACATTCATAATTATTAATACTACATAAATGATATGACACAACAACTGTGATCTCAAAACTCAAATTCAACAACATCAGATAAATGAAACGACACAACAACTCTGATTTATACACTCACATTTAACAATATTACATAAATGATAACGACACAACAACTCTGATCTCAACACACAAATTTAACAACATCACATAAATGATACAACACAACAAACTGATCTCAACACATAAATTTTACCTACATCACATAAATGATACAACCTCCATCTTGAATGCTCACTTGACTACACTGCCAAAAAACAATCAAACTATTACCTGCGCCAGCTTGCGGGCTTTTTCCACATCCTTCTTCATGGCAGCAATTTTAGCCATCTCCAGGTCCTCTGTGGTCATATGCTTGGCGGTGCTGTCTGACTCCTGTCTGTCCTTCCCAGCACTGTCTACTGACTCGTCAGATCTTAGCGATGCCGTACTGCTGGCTTTGGAAATCACCCTGTTTCTCAAACTCTGCGACCTTTTAACAGCGGCGCCCAGACCAGGAACTCTGCTTGCTGTGGCCTCTTTAGAGTTAGAGCTGTCGTCTATGGTGACCAACACCCTGGAAGGTGCACCTCTCATTGGCCGGGTTGGTTTATTTCTGTGAGGTGTATTGCCGGGCGATGCTGACTTTGCCCGCCGAAAATTACGAGGTGATTGTGACTGGTCTACATTGCCAGATTTTCGCAATCGTGTGTTCGCTGATGGGCAATCATTTGTAGACGTTGATTCAGGAACTTGGAGAGATAACTGTTGTCTGGAAGTGGCAGACGGGGACAGCGAGGCTGCAGCAATTTTACGTTGCTTTTGCGGAGAAGGGCACATATTTCTGTGGGTAAAAAAATATTTTTTTTGCACTGCCATTCAAAACAGGTTTAAGGTTTTAGATTACAGCACCGTCTAAAAAATAATGGTGGTGTTGGATCACCATGGACAAAAAGTAAGTTAATGAGCTTCCACACACAGTTTAATAGCCTTCATCAGCATATAACAAAAGACAATGATCATCATCATCAGTGCCCTGCCGAATGGTGTAGGCATTCATGCATCTCTATCCCTTGTCCTCTGGTACAGTTCCACCGTTGATATCCCTACGTGTCGCAATCCATCTGTCTTCACCTCTCTGTGTCCCCTTTCTACCATTGATCTTCACAGCCGTCAAAATAGTCTCCAACCCCCCCCCCTCCCCATCATACAATGATACTACATTAAACGATCTAACTATAAAAATTGTAAAACAACGATTTTCCCGGAATTTTTGGTTGACTTCTTCAACCAAATCGTCTGTCACCACACTCTGCCGAATACTATGATCTACACCATGGATATTTGTTCACCCTTCCTTAAACATTCGACACCATTTCCTAACCAAACAGTCAAAACACCTGGTCCATAAATCTCAATGAATTGCCTGTGAATTTCTGCAGCCCTTTTGTTTTTTGCTGACAAAAACGGAATCACAGCATGAACCTCGCAGCTGGCGGGAGTATTTCATTTTTGCACTCATTATAAATCACTCACACGCAGCAAACTAGATTTCCACAGCAAAAAAAAAAAAAATAGAACACAGCTTGCTAATAAACTACAGAAACATACTGAATGAGCATATTTGTTTTCCATTGGTGTTTGTTGCTGTGGTCAAAACGGTACTTACTGACAAAACGTGCCTCATTCAATGTTTTGTTCTGTTTTTAAACTGTTCCGAAAGTGTCCAAATACACTGCGATAATATGAATTAATAGGCTGATTAAGCTTAACTATAGCGAGGGCTGAGTGCCATTTCTCAGTGAAAGCCTGCATTTGTGCCCAAGTGCACAGCCATTCTTTAATTTCAGCACTTGAAACCGGCCCATTAATCTTCTTTTTCTTGTCTGATGACTTGTATGCACGTTGAAGGAAGGATGAATGTTAACTTCTCGGGTGAATTTCAAACCAAAATCTACGGAAAAGTTGGACAAATTTGGAAAGGGATGTATACTGTCGTGGATGAATGAATATCAGAGTTCCGCTACTTTGAAGAATGTTTTTTTTAAAAAGCAGCCATAAAATGAAAAATACTTACCTAATATTGCAGTCTGCGGCATGTTTCTCTGCCACAGGTACCCGTGCAGGCTTTGAATTCATGTGTCTGACGAATGCAAGTGATTAATGTCACAATCTATTCAATCTTTACACTAATGTTAGAACCTAATGAATCTCTACACTAATGTTATAATCTAATCAGTCTCTACACTAATGTCACAATCTGATCAATCATTACATTAACTTCACAATCTGATTAATCTCTATTCTAACCTCACAATCTAATAAATCTCTACACTAAAGTCACAATCTAATCAATCTATACACTAACGTTACAATCTAATCGATCTTTAAACTAATGTTACAATCTAATCAATCTCTACACTAATGTCACCATCTGATTAATCTCTACACTAGTCACAATCTGATGATCAATCATTACACTAACATCAAAATCTGATTAATCTCTACACTAGTCACAATCTGATGATCAATCATTACACTAACATCACAATCTGATTAATCTCTACACTAGTCACAATCTGATGATCAATCATTACACTAACATCACAATCTGATTAATCTCTACATTAACGTCACAATCTGATGATCAATCATTACACTAACATCACAATCTGATTAATCTACACTATCACAATCTGATGATCAATCATTACACTAACATCACAATCTAATTAATCTCTACACTAGTCACAATCTCTGATCGATCTTTAAACTAATGTTACAATCTGATTAATCTCTACACTAGTCACAATCTGATGATCAATCATTACACTAACATCACAATCTGATTAATCTCTACATTAACGTCACAATCTGATGATCAATCATTACACTAACATCACAATCTGATTAATCTCTACACTAGTCACAATCTGATGATCAATCATTACACTAACATCACAATCTGATTAATCTCTACACTAGTCACAATCTGATGATCAATCATTACACTAACATCACAATCTGATTAATCTCTACTCTAATGTCACAATCTGATCCATCTCTACACCAACTTCTGATAAATCTCTCCTCTTAACTTCACAATCTGACTAATCTCTATTCTAACCTCACAATCTAATAAATCTCTACACTAAAGTCACAATCTAATCAATCTATACACTAACGTTACAATCTAATTGATCTTTAAACTAATGTTACAATCTAATCAATCATCCAGACAACACATGAGAAAACAGAACAAGGAAACTTGCCTTGCATTGGCCCAAAACAAACAAAAATCTAATAATGGAAAGAAAAAGATGGGGTGGGCACAGGGTTTGCAAGCAACAGCAAAAGGGTAGGACAACCTGGCATAGAGCTAATCAGCTGACAGCCTGTGGCCCAGTAAGTAACCCACAGTGAGGGAGCACAAATAGATCATTACGGTCTGAGGAGAGGGGCGCTGCGAGGAGTTCCCAGTGATCTGACTGGTGCTCAACAGTCAAGGCAAAGACAAGACGGATATAATATCAGATAGTTACTGATGCCATTGGAATCTGAACTCTTCCCTTGCTGCTGAAGATGGGGACAAAGTGCTCCGAGTGCTGTGATGTGAATTCTTAATTCAACAAGTGACCCATGGATTACCTGCCATATGTATTGTATTCATTCTCTTTCTATGCTGGGACTCAAGCACGTGGCCCCTCAACGATCATCCATTTGGTCCATTGAATGTCCTTGATCTAGCACAGCAGCCCCGACAAACTATGCTTTAGTGAAGGGAAAAGGGCACAAGAAGAGGGCCCTCCCACAGTGCTAGTTACAAAATTTCACAAACTTACATTTTTTATAACATTATTCCACCACATTGAGAGAGTGGTAATGATCTTAATATATTTTTTTTAAACAATTCATGACCATTTGCATTAAGATAGTTGAACATACCTCGGAGATCTGCCAGCTGCTTCACCTGCTTCTTTCACTGCATTTTCAAGTCTATGCCCTGTGGAGGGAAACATTCAACTGATTAGTGTCTGATAAGAAGACACAACCAATCTCCTCACAACATTGTATTTAGACTGCGAACTGGACACAACAGACTCCAAAGTCATATACATATATGGTAAACTCAAAGATTAGGAACCCAGATCATTGCCCATGTGGTTTGGCAGTCCAAAATCAAGCAATCAGGTGCCTTTCTGAACTCCAATGGCAACTTGTCAACCCCCAGAGGCATAACTGCTTCATAACAAGTGCCACATCTGCTAATATTCTTTTCATATGTTTGCATTGAAGCCTCTGGGACTTTTGACCTCCTCTTGTAAATTAACCCTTGCTGAGGATAAAAACATGAAAAAACAAACAGGTAAAGCCGGGAGCGTCATTGCACAGTTTTAATCCATAAGTGCCGTGCCACCAGTACGGACAGCTGATAAGAAATTGTCTGCCTGTGTCGCCGTCCACATGTAGCTCAGCAGCTACGCTCCTCCGTTTACCTTAGTGTCAACTCTGGTACCCATTTCCTAGAGGCTGGATGAACCCCGGGAACCGCCTGGTTTTGAACACCGGCTGTGGGCTGCAGCGAGTCGCAGCTGGATTTGAAAGCGAGTCTTCTATCTACTGCGCTAATGCGGCCACATGAAAAAACAATAGCTGCCTAGAGGTGAAAGAGTTACATACCAGTACTACATAGCTTCTTCTGAGGCTTTGCCTTTATTGCTTTTGGTTCAGCACCTGATCAAAATCAACATCATGTGTTAGGGAGAACAAACAATCAGTACATTATCTATATAAATACAAATGTTTGTTCAAAATCTTAAATCTCTAAAGTTCACCAATTCCTTTAAACGATCAACTTATGCCCCAATAAGCATGTCGGAGGAGTCAACTAATTGAGGGTATCGGGTACACCTGCTTGAGAGGCAAGGAAACAAGAGTCTGCATATAAATGAGCCAGATGTGTAAAATGGATGGGCACCATATACTCAGATTCTACAATGAGACAAAAGTCGGGAGGAGGGAAAACACCCAGAACTTTACAGCTGGTGAAAGTGACGAAGAAGAAGATACCACACATCTGTGTGAATTTTGCAGTGCGGCCCACAGTGACAAGTACCACACCTCTGGGAAACAGTGAACATTTAAACTCACAACGGACCTGTTCATTCAACATAGCAAGATGCCCAACCAGAGAGATGCAAGCCCAATATGTTCTTGAGAAATGTGAACAGCAGGTGTCTGCCATACTGAGCTGTTCAACTTGTCTCCATTGCTTTGGCAGTGCGTACTCTGCTGCCTTGCTGCGTTATGATAAAGATGTGTATTCCATTTACACCTAAGCAGTCATCCGTGAAAATGTGGCACAAATCGACTTCCACGAAGGTAGACAAATGACATTAAAGATACACTGACAATGAATGTTCAAAGGGGTGTGGCCAGACAAGAGCCCTAGACAGGAAGCCCAAAAAAGTATAAGAAAACCAACACAGGACTAGTGACAGCCGCTACACACTGCGGGATGTTCTAAGAGGATCCTAGCACTTGTAAACTGAATGGTTTGATATGCAATGGGAATAATCCTTTAACTAACTCACTGCCCATATCAGAAAGAGACAATCTATATTCTTTGGTCATGTGATGAGAAGGAGAAAACTGGAGTACATCGTCACAGTGGGAAAGTTGGAAGGGGAGGAGAGGCAGAGGGAGACAGAGAACAGATGCTGGACAGTCTGACATCATGGCATGGAGAATCATCTATGTCAGAGTTGACTGAAAGCACACGAGACAGAAGGTTGCGGATAGACATGACTAACAACGCCATACAGCATGGACTTTATAAGAAGAACTAACTAACAAACTGACTATAGAAAGAGAGACTTTCAGGTGTGCCATGAAGAAAGTGAAGTGCTGTTAAAGACGTGCTCATTAACTAAAGATGATGAGACATCTATATGTGCGTTGGTGATGAAGAATTCCAGCAGTTTTAAAGGTGTTTTTGTAGCCTTTCTTTCTGGCCAAATAGATATCTTTCTCCATGCTAGAAACTTTTCTGCTTCAAAGCCTGGCTGTTAAAACAGCAGACCTAATACAAAGAAGGAATTATCCAGCAAAGTGTTTGCACACACCATAAGACAAGATGTCTCAGAATTCAACAGGATTAATAAACATCATCAACCTTGTGTAAAAAATCTGATGACTGCGGTTGAGCCGATATCAAAATCTAACAGTTATATATAAAAAAAAGGATTTACAAACAAAAACAAACACACGTAACAGTGGGGGAGGGGGGGGGGCAGGGGGGTTCACTGCTCAACTGGGGTGGGTGGAGGTACAGTGCCTAAAAGCTAGAAGTCAGGAATGGAACAAAGCTGAGAAGACAACATCTACCAGTGCCTAAGAGATAGAAGTCAGGAATGGAACAAAGCTGAGAAGACAACATCTACCAGTGCCTAAGAGATAGAAGTCAGGAATAGAACAAAGCTGAGAAGACAACATCTAACAGTGCCTAAGAGATAGAAGTCAGGAATAGAACAAAGCTGAGAAAACAACATCTAACACTGTCTAAGAGATAGAAGTCAGGAATAGAACAAAGCTGAGAATACAACATCTACCAGTGCCTAAGAGATAGAAGTCAGGAATAGAACAAAGCTGAGAAAACAACATCTAACACTGTTTAAGAGATAGTAGTCAGGAATACAACAAAGCTGAGAAGACAACATCTACCAGTGCCTAAGAGATAGAAGTCAGGAATAGAACAAAGCTGAGAAAACAACATCTAACACTGTTTAAGAGATAGAAGTCAGGAATAGAACAAAGCTGAGAAGACAACATCTAACGATGCCTAAGAGATAGAAGTCAGGAATAGAACAAAGATGAGAAAACATCTACCAGTGCCTAAGAGAAAGAAGTCAGGAATAGAACAAATATGAGAAGACAACATCTACCAGTGCCTAAGATATAGAAATCAGGAATGGGACAAAGCTTAGAAGACAATATCTAACACTGTCTAAGAGATAGAAGTCAGGAATGGGACAAAGCTTAGAAAACAACACCTAACAGTGCCTAAGATATAGAAATCAGGAATGGGACAAAGCTTAGAAAACAACACCTAACAGTGCCTAAGAGATAGAAGTCAGGAATGGAACAGAGCAGGTAAGAAATAAATTGCTGACTGAGTAGTCTGGTGATCTCTCTGGCAAACCTCTACCCCACCCCCCCCCCCCCCCCCCCAAGGGTAGAAGCGGATCGACTAAGCAAGTAAGTATTCTATTCATCCGAAGTGTGGTATTGTTGAACAGTATATGTTTTTAGTACAAATTAAAAGACTCGTATAACCAGATTGTAACCGGTACCATCAGTATTGGAACTATGCGCTGGCTGCTGAAGATGAGGACGGAGCACACATGGAAATACCCCAAGCGCTATGATATATATTCTTGACTCAACTCAACTGTTGAACAGGAAGTTCTGTTAATCATACGACAAACAAAGTATACAATATGTGTCTACTTACCCTTTTCTTTATATGGCAGGTCGTCTTCTCGGTCTGAGAATGATGAAAAAAAATAAATATTTACATGTAACTGATAACACAAATGCCACAGTAAAAGGATAGATGCTATTACAAGTAACAAGCTTCTTTTATCTTGAAAGGATACTAGAACAAGCCTGGGCGCCCAGTATCTGCCTAAACATTTCTAGGTAATGGGATTTTTTCACGTGGATTTCTGTTAATTATAGTGCCACTGTGGTAATGTCGTGTCCGCGTAAGTTCCATCCATAAACCTTCAATCGATAGTGTCACTGTTCCACTGTTGTGACAAATTCTGGTGGCTGTGTCGTAATTGCAATACTCCTTGCCCTAACCCCAAGTCTAATCCTAAACCTAGGACCCAGGGGAGAAGTTAAACCTAGGACCCAGGGAAGAAGTTAAACCTAGGACCCAGGGGAGAAGTTACAGTACACATTGCACTCAGTGTTGGAGTTGTTGACACACTCGATGACTAAAGACCGTTATTAGGAGGAGTCTATCCTGTGGTATGAGGTATATTCGCCGGAGATAAGTCTGCAATTTATATATGATTGAGGCCCTGTTAGGGTATTTTCTTAGCCTCGATAATCTGGGATCGTTATTCGGAGGAAAGCCAATATTAATATTTCTATACCACTCAGCATCGTTAACATCAAAAATCAACAAAGATATTCATATGCCTCAAGGCTAGACATGGATGCTTAGTAGTAATTTTTAATTCAATGGATCTTGTCAAAAAAGCTGCACTTTCTTCTTCTTCTGTCCATTACCCACCCCTCCTCCCCTTCCCCAAAGCTGGATTGATTCAAACAATCATGAATTCATTAATACAATATATAATATATGCATGAAATTAAATTAAAACAAGAGCCTTCACTCAACTACACTGAGTTTCATGTTTATTCAGTCTTCTTTCCCCGATCATAAAAATAGATGGTTTCTAGTCTTTTTTAAATACTTAAAAACTAAGAGCAGTTTTACACTCCTCAAAGACTTCTAATTTTTGGGCCACAAGTTTTAACTGGCTTTTACCCCCCCCCCCCCCCCCCCCCCCCACACACACAAAAACGTCGATAGCTCGGCTTGTAATTGACATGCAGGCATGAATGAGGTACCGTTGGAAATAGCTTTTCAATATGTATCCAGCTGTACTGGTTTTATAAGTAAAGTAAAGTAAAAATAATTTTGAAAATTGGACTAAAGTGGGCCAGGCTATGATATTGTTCTATATAAAATTAAATAAAAAGCAAGTGGCAACCCGAACTAATTACAAATTAATTAGTAATAGTAAATCGTAATTGCACTATTATAATTAATATTTATTATTGTATAAACAACTGACTTAAACACAAAATAAGAAGGTCTTCTGCTTCAAATTAAAGACAGCATGAGTATTTAAACTATTTACATCTGACATTTGAGAAGTGTTGTAGTGTAGCGTAGACACAGAGTTAGGCAGAAAGTCGGAACTCCACAAAACAAGTGTGAAAATCGAAACGACAAGCAAGTCTGCAAGAAGGTATTATTAACTAACTACTTACGTGTATCAAACCAAGTATCATCATATTCATCATCGTGAGCTTGTGGCTGTGTAAAGTCCACAAACTGTGGCGCGTCAAAAGTCCAATCCATAGCAATAAATTTGAAAAATGTTCTCAAAAGATTTCTCTGAACGGCCACAGTCGTCCAGTTTCGCCAGCACAAATTCAATTTGCCCGCATATACAATCTAGCCAATCGCAGTGCTCAAAGTCACTCGGCTCACCACTAGAAGGCGTTTGACTGGAAGAAAATTACAATGCTATAGAACAAATAAAAAATAATTTTAAATTCTAATGTTATAATTGAATTTGTACAGAATTTATTTAATTAAAAAACGTAATAATTAGTTAATTTGTAAAGGGATTAATAAGTATAAAATGTGTGACTGTGTGTGCGGAGTTTAGTAGGTTGGAATTTCCGGTTAGCGGCAGCCTCAAGAAATGTCGACTATCATTAAGTGCCCTGCCGAACGGCGGGGAGATCACGCTTTTTTCTGTTTCATGCGAATTCTAAACACATGCAACGATTTGCACATTTTCTACTTGTGAGAATTCTTGTGCCAAATTAGTAAGGAAATAGACATACTGCCAGGGCTGCCAATGATGGGTTTTTACCCCCAGATCTGCGTTTTTATTTGACGCCTTGGGTTCAAATTTTGGAATCTTGGGTTTTTTAGAAAATATATCCTTATATAAAAGTGGGTAAATGTTTCATTTCGAAACTATATAATTTGCACTTTTTATCAATCTTTGGTTTTTGTTTATTGTTCTTTGCTTCTGTATTGCTGGGTTTTTTAACCAGCTTAGCTTGGGATTTGAGAAAATTCCATGGGCAGCCCTGCACCCGGCCATCCTTCAAGCATCTGGGATCTGCCCTGTTTATCTATCATCTTTTTTTTTTTCGTGTAGAATTCTCTACAGGGGGATCTTGTCGTTTACACAGTTGGGTCTGTAATTTGCCATGTCATAAGCTCTTGGGCTTTTATAGCTCAGCTGAAGTTAGAATTGTTAAGCAAAATTTTGTTGCTGTTGTCTTGACCACAAGTAGTCTGACTGTGGAGGTCATGGCAGTAACAAACCAAAACATGGCTGGAGACAGACTTTTTTTCCCGCGCATGCTTTCTCCTTGATTCAATTAATTTGCTCTGGAAGATAGAGAAGGGCTAAATACGATGACGATGGTTGGAGTCTCTAAAGCGGTCGGGGGCTGACACATGTCAGTTTCATATTTGTGCCAGGGTACGCGGGCGAAAATGGAAATGAACGAGCTAATTGCAATTCCAATTCCTTTTAAGAAAACAAAATCCACAAACTCAGCCACGTTCAACCTGCTGCTAACTAGCCGAAGCTGCCAACAGTCTCCGGCTATATTCGTGGTCGTGTTTATTTGCGCCATTTACGTGGCTCAAGTTCTGGTATTTGCGCCGTCTCTGGGCTTAACTCTTTGAGTCCCAGAGGGTTTGGCATCACAGTCCCAAGCAGTAGTCAAGACAGACCTAAAATCGGCGCATTATGCGTTCATTGAGCTTCTGTGCAGTAACCTATAAACGTATGATACGTTCCTTGGGACTCAAGGAGTTAATGCTTCTTTCCTCCAAGTCAGACCACCCAGGCCCATTCCTGTTGTCAACTGTATTCTTCTTGTCCTTTCATCTCTGATGTTTCCTCCTTGGTTTCAACTCCTTCTTATTAGGCCAGGCGTGTATCGTAGGAGAGCGAGCTTCTCAACATCCCGTCCTTTGAAACCCCCATTTATAGTTTTAAATTTGTGAGTATTCTACTTTGCCAAAACGTACTGAAAACAGTTCTTGGGTTTGGATAGATCCTAAATGTGAAAATATGCGCGTGTGACCATAGCGGTCTTATAGTTGTCTTCTTGCAATACGAACGGGTTAATCATGTCATGAAGATGTGTATGAAATGTGAGGTGAAGCCTCACAGTGATTCTATCCGTCATTTGTTATTGTGTGGTCTGATTGTGTCGGTTTGGGTTGATAGCTAGGCTTCGGTGTGCGTAAATATCAGATCCCTTAAATATCCAGCTGACGCCCGTGTTTTATACTTACTGAAGCGATGCTCACACAGACTGTGCCACTTTTGTGAAGATTTTCTTGTATGTCCTTTAGTTTCATTAGTGTGTCAGTATTGTCTGTAATATAGTCTGGCCGTGTCAGGTATTTGGTTATGTCTAGCTCCTAGCTTTTGACCTGTCCGTTATGTTCCTAGCAAGTTCTAATGGGCGATGTGGATGTTGAGTGATGACGAGTTTCTTGTTTGAGTACGCTCCTCATTACATTTATTCTCACTCATTTATAGGTCCGTACGATATCACCCGTTTATCCTGAAGTCACATGCAAACATATCACTTATCAACATATCAACCAGGTGCAGCATCCGTACATCCAAGTCTCCACATACACAAGGACGGTGGGTGGTTATGTGTTATATCCTTCTTGTAGTTCTTGCCCATACCTTCCCATATATTTCCACATGTATACATCTGTAAAGTCGTTCATATATGCCTTTCGCTAATCTATATCTCCCCTTTCTTATCGATAAGTGAACCCATACCACTCGCATTATACACATTTTCTTGTGTATTCATCCTATACATTTGTGCACTTTTGTATACACATACTTACTTATGCACAGGTACGTACCTACTCTGATCCATCCACAAATTGTTCTTACAAGAAGGCCCTTCCATAAGGGTTGATTTGATTGATTTTATTTTATTCAAGAACCGACATCATAGCACTCGGGGCATTCACGTAAGCGCTCCTTCCTCATCTTCAGCAGCCAGCGAACAGTTTCGATACTAATAGTGCCAGTAGCATTCTGCTTAAACGTCCGTCTTGCCTTTCATCTGAGCCTCGAGCATCTGCCAGAACCTCTCGTCACCCCCCCCCCCCCCCCCCTCTTCCTGCATCAATCTCACCAGACTGTGTTGATCCATCTGCTCCTCCGAAAGATAGAAGGACAAACTAGATAACATACCAAATCGAAAACTATAGTTAACGTGCAGGGAGGCGAACCTGTCACCTACAAATAACGTGTGCGCCTCGTTAACAAGTGTGCTAAGTAAGAAGAAACTCCACAGGGGAGTATGTACAGCAGGAGTCTACCAATCATCAGTAGAAGTAATCTCTCGTCGACAAATGTTTCGGCCCACGAGCTCCTAGACATTTTCGCAGAGTGGGCCCACTTGAGATTCGTGATGCTCAGGGTTGGTTTCTCCTGCTGCACGTATTACCGGATGTTCTCGGACAGGGACAAGACGAAATTGGTGACTTTGCAAACGGTACTGTGAGATACTGTATTTACATAGTCGCTGCGGTAGCATAATTAGAGCAGTCAGCATAACTAGACGACCAAGTGGCAAACTTACGGTTAGTTTATCGGACACATGTTAGACTTTGTTCGCAGATGGCAGAGGAACACTGGCAGACAATTCGGACACGATAGACTTTAAGGGATAAGATTTTGTTTTGCACTAGACACCCGGACCAGCTCACCGAGGCCCATCCCCCGCGACGTTTCGTTGTGTCCAGAGCCAGCTCGAGGCCCTCTCAGCAGCCTCGCCCAGTTGTTTTAGTGCTCATTTGAGCTCATTTCCTCACAAGCCTAGTTGTTTAATCACATTGTACAATGAAGTGGAAACGAGACCTCTTGTGCCTACCTCGTCGGCGAAGATTCTTACTGTGTACGCTTCGTCTCTCCTCAGACCAGCCGCTAAATCACTGTACTTCTCAAGAAAGTCCACTGTTCGTGGAGTCACCTTTATTTTTGTTCCGGGACACGCAGGCGTCAATGGAAATGAAAGAGCTGACAGGTTGGCTGGATCCGCTATCACTACCGACGGTCAGCCTATGGATCATGCTGATATTATCAATGCCCTCAGAGAAATGGGAAGAATAGAGGACTTTGGTGGCAGTGAATCCACATCACTCGCCAGAATGGCAGACTTGGGAATTAAGATTGGCACAGCAAAAAACGAGACGCACACCAGCTACGCCAGAAGACTTGTTAATCAACATAGAACTGGTACTATTAGCCATCGGACGTTGGGGTTCATACTGAGGGGAGGATCTGAGCACCTATGGACATGTCCGGAGTGCAATGAGGATAACCCAACTAACTAACTAACTAACTAACTAACTAACTAACTAACTAACTAACTAACTAACTAACTAACTAACTAACTAACTAACTAACTAACTAACTAACTAACTAACTAACTAACTTCTCAAGAACATGACCAACTAGGCATACCTAAAAAAAAAAAAAAGTGTCTCTATTGGCCATGTATTTTGTGGGTTGATGATTGATTCGTACCTTTCCGTCTTTCCATATAATAGTGTTATATTGCGCTACGAGGAGGCATAGGACTCACAGCCCATGGCGATGGCGAGTGTGACTAGCGTGGGTTACATAAATTTATATTAACCAAGCATAGATAGAATAACAAACACAGAAACAATTACAAACACAGCAGACCGTAGGCTTTGTCTAGAATACATTCAAGAAAGAGATTTGACTGGTAGATTTCATTGTGCTACACGCCATTCACATAAATAAACAGAGGGGGAACTCTTGAGGCAGCAGCAATATTACATTTACCTCTTCATAGGGCATATGAAAAAGGAAAGATGCCAGTCATTGACACTGTGCGACCCATCTAAGGGCGATTACTTGATTGCAAAAGCTGTTCGTGAAGCGTTCCTTACTGGGACCAAAAAAAAAAAAAATGTTGACGACGCAGTTGCAGATCGCAGATTGTTGAGAGGCATGATCGCCCACGCCAGTCGGCAATGCACTTGATAATGATAGTTGCGGAGGACTCTTCTAAGCGCTGGCGGGTCTTGCTAGTCACACTCGCCGTCGCCATGGGGTGTGAGTCCCATGCCTACTCCTCCTCCTCATCATCAGGTGCCTTACCGACTGGCGTGGGCGATCATGCCTCTCCACAGTCTGCGATTTCCTGCAGCATGTATCAGTTCGTGTGCACCTCTATGCCATGCAACCAGACTGTCAAGAATCTTCTCTCGTTGTCTTCCTTTATCCCTTCTTCCACAGATCTTTCCAGTGGTCACAACATGTTCCATTTTCCCTCTTCTCGTAACATGGCCGAAAAATGATGAATGTCCCCTTCTGATGTCTGTGATAAGTTCTCTTCGAGCTCCCGCCTCTTAAAAAACCTCCTGGTTGTTCTTTTTGGCTGTCCAAGGTATTTAAAACATTGTTCTATAAAACCACATCTCTGAGGCCTCAAGAAATTGTTAGGCCTGCCTACCGATTGTCCAGGATTCACAGTCATATGTTACAACTGGATGTATGTAGCAAGCAATAATTCTTTTCTAACTCTCAATTCCTCTCATCATAAGAGGCATACGATGGACTCCATTCACCATGCTTGAAGACCTTGATTTTGCAGATGTTATAGCACTCCTATCACATAAACATGAAAATATACAAGAGAAAAGTAACAGACTACACTGCACAGCAGAAATGATGGAACTTAGAATAAATACAAAGAAAACTAAGATCATGACAAACAAACCTCAGGCGTAATATGATCGCCGCACAGAAACGTCAATAACTGGAAAACGAATTCCAGACACTAAAACACCGACCTCGATATAACCACTGCTCAATCTAGGAGCCGGTTGAAAGAGGCACGAAGTTTTTTTTTTTTCCAACATCAAGATCAAGATCATGACAAACAGTCTAAACCAACAACCAGTGACTATAAGTAACCAATCACTTGAAAATGTAGAACATTTCATATATCTTGGCAGTGTGGTGTCCATACTGGGATTGACAGAGGAAGACATACAGTCACGCCTGAACAAAGCTAGAGCTGCTTTTGTAAGGATGAGGCAAATCTAGAAATCCAACAATTACTGCAGAGGAACAAAACTCTGACTCTACAAGAGCATCATTTTGCCAGTTCTTCTTTGTGGAGCGGAATGCTGGAGAATGACCAAAAAGGATGCACACAAGCTGTCCACCTTCCACTACACATGTCTACGTAGAATTATCAAAATTTTCTGGCCAGATGCAAGCTCAAACACTAAACTACTTCAAGCCACAAACCAAGAAACTTTAGACAGTATGATTACCAAGAGAAGATGGAAATGGCTTGGCCACGTTATGAGAATGACTTCTGATGTACCTGCCAAAACAGCTCTCACATGGACACCAGAGGGAAAGACTGACGGCTGACTGACTCTCTACCCCATCAGGACATCACACAAGCGATAAACACCCGATGACACAAAGTGCCACCATGTGGATGAGGATCACAGTGGAGAGGTCCCAGAAACAGCGTTCAGACAACTGGCTACATTTATGGCCTGCCTATATTGCGGCCCCTGGCAAAAGCCAGAGTGGGGCTTCAAATAACAAAAAATTACGTCCTAAAAAAGGACGTGAGGATATTAGGAGAAAGAAAACAGGGGCGCCCAAAAACAACATGGAGACGAACGAAGGAAAGTGACCTGAGTGCGGCATCTTTGACATGGAAAACTGCACTGAAGATTGCACAGGACAGGAAAGCATGGAAAGTCCTCTCTGAAGCCTCATGTGCCAATAGGCATAACGAGAAGTGATGATGATGATGAATTCTCCTCATCATAGCTCAGTATAACACTATAATCTGGAAAGACGGAATGGTGCCAATCGTTGACACTGTGCGACCCATCTAAGGGCGACTACTAGTGTACGAAAGCTATAGCAGACGAGATTTGGCCCTGGTCGGGGAAACATGTCTTCTAGGAGACACGTCGTGTGAACTAATACTATCGCTTGGAACCGTCATAATGGTGTTTTATTAGCGTTATAAGTCAACTATTTCCATAAACTGCTATGCATATTGAAGTACTTAATGCCACAGCTGCAGTTAGTTTTGTATGATTGTGTTATTATATGCATGATGCAGCTGTGTGTTATTACTATTACTTACTGTTATGATCGACATAAGTCAAAAACAAGTTGCTGTTTAACTATTTATTTACAATGGTGGTCTGTCGGTATTTTATTTAATTTATGTTATACATGAACTATTTTCACGAATAACTGCATTTCAAAAAGCTTAAAGTTGTAATAAAAGCAGCGCATCAGTTGTAGTGGAAATTTTTAGTATCATCATCAGCAGCAGCAGTAATAGTATAGTAGCCCACGGTATAGTTCTGTGTGGGTTGACCTTTGCACTCGCTAACATTTTTGTTGTAAGATTCTGAACTCTTATGCTTGCATACGAAGGCAGCATTACTGAAAGCTTTTAAATATCGTCAGCGATTAGTCCAGGACTGTTATGACTAATTTACTAGTAGTAAGAATTTAATCCGCAATAAACCGTTTAACATCAGTTGATGAAAGAACAGTTACTATTGGAGATCCATTTGCAGCCAAACTTCGTTGTGGAGACGTCACTTGATTTATGATCCATCCCTTCTAAACTTTCTGGATTATAATTACGCTATATAGTATCCCCCCCCCCCCCCCCCCATTTTAAAAGTGGCTATTTGTAATTACATTGAATAATTTTCTGTTTTTTAACATTGCATTGATTATGTATTGACTATAAAAGATTTTAGAACTATAAATTGTAAGTTAAATATATTTCAAATGAGCTTTTTAAAATAACTCTTATGATCAGATGGGATTTTATCTTTGGGAATATTCAAAGAGATCATTATCATTATTCAGCAGGTGCTTTGCAGATTTGATCATTTACACAGACGGCTCAGTGTCAAGAGGAAAAAGAAGTGTTTTTTGGGGTTTCTTAGCAAAAGTTAATGGTCAACATTTGGTGCAGGAGAGTATGATACCGCAACATCCAGCTTAAGAATGGAGGTGGAGGCGGGCACTGCAGCTTTCTGCTGGTTAGAGAACACGACATACACACATATGGTGATTGTAACTGACTCAGAAAGCATGCAGAGGAAGATCAGGACAGGTATGTTTTGTGCAAAGTGGCATGCTTCACTGCGGAGTACACAGGTGAGGAGTATTGTCTGGATTTTTTCTCCGGGAAATGCCGGTGTGTTGGGAAATGAACAGACTGACAGACTGGCTGGCTCTGCACAACTTGGTGGAATACTGATGCATGATAAAGCAGACATGGTTAGTGCCTTGTGGGAGAGCATGTACAGTTTGGAGGAGCAGATGGATCACTACAGTCTGGTCAGATTGATGCAGCTGGGAATGACAAGGGGTTCTGGCAGATGCTTGAGGCTCAAAGGAAAGCCAAGACGGACGTTTAATCATTATGCTACTGGCACCATTAGCATCAGAACTCTTCACTGGCTGCTGAAGATGGGGACGGAGCACTTATGGGAATGCCCCGAGTACTGTGATGTTGGTTCTTGAATCAACTCAACTCTACTTTGCAGAATGTCTCTGCCATCATAGTATAATTGAAGTAAGCTCAGTTTCTCCCCAGCTCTCCCACCTCATGCAATTTCCTGGCTACAACATGGCTACTTTTGCCAGTCAGCAGTCATAAGAGCAATGTTGTCCTGTTATAAATGCAAATAATGTGGACACAAACAATACATTGCATAATTTCTTTGATAGTACCTCATTTGCTTGACTCTGAGCACGTAGTTGATAAAGATTGTGTGCTTTCAGGATTATTTACCACAGACTGAATTGATGTTTGTGATGGAGGCTGTATCAGTAAAACTGTACTCTTGTATGTTATGTAAACAGAAAGATCACATAATCAATTTGAAGTATGGTAGTCATGTCACTGATTTTGAATTTCAGGCAGAGAGATGAACAGCAACTCAACAATGTGGTTTATGCATTTTAACAAGAAAATAATGAATTTTGTTCTTCATTAAATGTTGATTTGTCTCTGTAGTAACGCACCTGATGAGATGAAGTGAAATATGCCAGGCAATATATTGTGCAATGTATTGTGTCCACATTATTTAAATATAAGAAGAAGATTATCTACAAATCACATTTTTCAAATGTTAAATTATTTTGTCATGTTGCTTTAACATTTAGTGTAGTAGTTTTTTTTTTTTTCTTTTCTTTTCCAGATGTGAGGTGATATGAACCGTGACCAGGTTGATATTTCTGTAAAACATAAGCCACAGTCTGTAGACATGTAACATACAAAACACCAGCTGGCAACATACAACGTACTGTCACCCCATAGAATCAACCACAAAACCTCAAGAATGGATACAGAGAAATACAGCAGTTTGCATGAACTTGATTATAGTGTCAAGAAAGAGGAACCTGATTCTGATAAAGAAACCATTTTTCAAGAAACCACACTAAAGCGTCACCTGACACTGTTTTCTGTCGTTGTCATGCTGGTATCCGTGACTGGACACATCGCTGTCTTCATCACGCCTGGGTCCATCCTGCACATGTCCGGCTCAGTGGTCACCACTCTGGTCATCTTATGTGTGGGCAGTCTGTTGGTCTACACTCAAGCCCTGTGTTTCACTGAGATGGGCTGTATGTTTCAAAGTGCCGGGGGAGCTTACCTGTATCTGACGTTAACGTTTGGCAACATGTATGGATTTCTGGTGGTTTGGGGCTACATTATTCTCATCTCAGGACCTTTTATTGCGTTGGCGTCTCAGATTGCTGCGCTGTATGTCATCAAGGCAGTCACTTCAAACAGTAGCTGTAACCTCTGGTGGCATGAGGTTGCTGTTCATCTGTTGGCTGGATGGCTGTTATGTAGGTAGCATCAATTTTCCTAAAAATACAATATTTCTTCACTTCCAAGAAACACTTTCCCCCAAACTATTATGGCTGTTATGTGGGTAACATCAATTTTCCTATAAATACAATATTTCTTCACTTCCAAGAAACACATCTCCCCAAACCATTATGGCTGTGTGGGTAACATCAATTTTCCTATAAATACAATATTTCTTCACTTCCAAGAAACACTTCTCCCCAAACCATTATGGCTGTGTGGGTAACATCAATTTTCCTATAAATACAATATTTCTTTACTTCCAAGAAACACTTCTCCCCAAACCATTATGGCTGTTATGTGGGTAACATCAATTTTCCTATAAATACAATATTTCTTCACTTCCAAGAAACACATCTCCCCAAACCATTATGGCTGTGTGGGTAACATCAATTTTCCTATAAATACAATATTTCTTCACTTCCAAGAAACACTTCTCCCCATACCATTATGGCTGTGTGGGTAACATCAATTTTCCTATAAATACAATATTTCTTCACTTCCAAGAAACACTTCTCCCCAAACCATTATGGCTGTGTGGGTAACATCAATTTTCCTATAAATACAATATTTCTTCACTTCCAAGAAACACTTCTCCCCATACCATTATGGCTGTGTGGGTAACATCAATTTTCCTATAAATACAATATTTCTTCACTTCCAAGAAACACATCTCCCCATACCATTATGGCTGTGTGGGTAACATCAATTTTCCTAAAAATACAATATTTCTTCACTTCCAAGAAACACTTCTCCCCATACCTATGGACATGTCCGGAGTGCAATGATGATAACCTAACTAACTGACTGACTGACTGACTGACTGACTAACTAACTAACTGACTGACTGACTGACTGACTGACTGACTGACTGACTGACTGACTGACTGACTGACTGACTGACTGACTGACTGACTGACTGATTGACTGACTGACTGACTGACTAACTTCTCCCCATACCAGCATTCTGTTGCACTCTTTTGTATAACATAGTCTGCTCCTTAATTCCAGTCTTCTTCTTCATCTTCTTTGTTTAGTGATCATGTGAGTAGGTGAAACATTACCAACTCTGCTTATTGAATTAAGTGACTTTGTGTATTCCTATTTTATAATTGTAACATTATCTGTTCATATAATGTGCTGATGAAGGTTTTCTAGCCGCAGCGTTCATCTATCATGTGTGTGATTATGCCAATGTAAAGCTAACAAGTTCTGCTTTTCATTTGATTTGGTATCTTTTCATGATATCTTCAGGGAACAGTGGGTCTCTTGCTGCCCCTGACCCACCCTCCTTCCTTCCCAACAGGGGGCTCGAAAACCACTGCAAGTCTTTTTCTTCTTAACATTCACTGGCTGTAAACTCCAGCTGAAAAATCTGGTTGTTCATCCACTTCTGGACTTAAGACCAGAACCTGAGTGTTGTGTGGAGATCTGTTTTACAGATCTGAGTTATATGTGTGCAGACATTTGGTTCCATGCCTCTCAGGCAGAGGTATTCTGACTTCGAAGGAGATCCCAATTACTTAACTCTTACGACATGCTTGTTAGGAAGGCAGTGGGTCTGTTCTTGTTTTTCCCACAATGGGGCCCCGGAACTAAAATGGAGAACCAGTGGAAGTAATGAGAGAGCTGTGATATACAAATGTCAAACACAATGTCATATATCAAAGGTTGCTGCAAGCTGACAGAGATTAATCTGTGTACGGGTTTTAGGCATTTAGCATAATCCATGACTGGCATGGTTGATAGATGATGTTGGAAAATTATTAGTTGGGGGGCTGAATGGACAGTTCACTATCACTGCACTCTAGTTGAGTTAAGAACTGACATGACAGGTAAGCGCTCTGTCCTCATTTTCAGCAGACAGCGAAGAGTTCCACTTCTGATGGTACCAGTAGCAGTTTGATTATATGTTTATCTTGTCTTTCCTCTGAATGTAGAGTGTTGACCATATCCCCTGTCACTCCTAGCTGTACTCAGCCTAACATGGGTACCAGGATGTACGTCCTGGGGAAGTAAAGATGGCTGCAACGCCCCATAAAAATCCACACGGCCAGCAGTACAGCAACAAATAAGGTAACTTTAATTTAATGTAATTCTGGTCAACTTTCAGTGACTCTGGCCGTCTTCAACTGCTTCTTTCTGAGAGTGTTAGTGAGGATGCAGAGCTTCTTCACCGCTTGCAAGATGCTGGCCATTGGTATCATCATTGTTGGGGGCATTTATTTTTCACTCACAGGTAAGCTTTGTGTTTCTTTTTTAGGGTGAGTTGAGCTGAGTCAAGAATTGACAGCACTTGGGGCATTCCCATGCAGATCCTTATCTTCTGCAGCCAGCGCAGAGTTCCAATTCTGATGGTACCGGTCACAATCTGGTTATATGTCCGTCTTGCCTTTCCTCTGAGTGTAGTCAGCTAGCCAGACCCTCTGGTTATACTCAGGTGCCTCATTCTCTCCAGGCCATAATAATCTTCTGTCTCTACTGATTCCGTTGCTTGTTCCCAAACGGCCTTGACCACATCTGCCTTGTCATGTATCAATTCACCACCCTGTGTTTCTTTTTTAAAGGTTAGTGAATGCATGTCACAATTTCACAGCCCTTGACATGTCAGGGCTTGATGAAAGCACTGATGCCAGCTGATAAACTAGCTAAGGAAAGTGCAAATGAAGAACAGCCTTAAGTAACAGTCTCTTATCAACAGAAGAAGAGAATCATCAAATCAGTCAGAATGCCAAAACTGGCACAAGATGATTGCCTTATTATGGACAGACCAGATCAAGTTATTATTCTACGCCTTAGAACAGGACACAGCCGTGTTCACAAACAAATTAAGAAGAATTTGGAGACAACTGAGATGTGGTTCTTGAGAAGAATGTTGCTAATACCTTGGACTGCCAGAATAACTGACAATGATTGGCTGAAAATGGCTAATAAAAGTAGAACATTATATGCACCAATGAGAAGGAGACAAAGTTCTTTGGTTATGTGATGAGAAGGGGAATACTGGGAAATGTTGTGATCATTGGAAAGATAACTGGTGGCAGAGGCAGACCAAGAGAAAAGATGGTGGATGGCGGAATACCATCAGTGGAATTGATCCAGAACACCAAAGACTGAGATCTGTGGAGATGCATGAACGCCTACGCCAGCTAGCAAGGCACTTGATGATGCTGATGATTTAGAAAAAAAAAAAAAATTTTAGTACTTGGGTACCCTGATAACATCAAATGAAAGTTAAATGTAGAATATCACAAGCAAAGGTAGCATTTTACAAAATGAGGAATATTCTGTGCAGATCTGTCTTTGTCAGTTGAGATGACAAAGAGAATTCTCAAAGGCTGTAAAAAACCTACCCTGATATTTGGAAGTGAATCATGGAAGTTGCTAGATAAGTGAAAAATTATTTGGAAGCTGCGAGGATGTTGTTTTAATAGATGAATGATGAGAATACACTTGACAGATTTAAAAATAAAATAGTAATGAAGATGTCTTGAAAGAAACTAACTCATGAAGAGAACTGATTGCCCACGTCAGAAATCGACAGTCTATATTCTTTGATCAGATCACGAAAAGTAGAAAAGTAGAGTACATCATGACAGTAAGAAGGTTGGAGGGGAAGAGAGACGGAGAGAAACCAAGAGAGAAGATGCTGGACAGTTTGACATTATGGCATAGAGGATCGTCTCGATCTGAGTTGACCGAAAGTACATGAGACAGAAGGTTGTGGATAGACATGACTACCAATGCCACATCGTATGGACTTAAAAATAAAAGAAGAAGAAAAAAAAATGCTTTTGTTGCAAATGAATATTAGCCTCAGAATCTCACTTTATAAGAAACTTGGGACCTCACTAGGTTATCATCACCACTTGTCTTGTCTTGTCTTGTCTTGTCCACAATTGCCTCACAGCGTAGTGGGGAGTCGCAGTTTTCTATCCTGGGCCAGGTGTGTTGCACGTGTTGTTGTTAGTCCGTGTTGCCTCAGGATCTCTGATTTATTGTCTATCCATCATACTCTCGGTCTGCCTCTTGCTCTAGGGCAGTAGTGCTGTTCGTTGTATGCTCGTAGAGGCAGTTGGTTGGTTTGCATTCGCATCATGTGGCCAAACCACTCTATTTCTATCACTACCACTTTTATTATTAAATCATCATGGGGAGGAACAGTTTGGAATTCATTGCTTGATGAGTAGCAATGGCTGTTATTATTCTGTGTTGATGTAGCAGCTCTTGGATGTTATCAGTCCATATTCTCCTAGGCGACCTCTTGTTTTAATATTAGATCTTTTAATTTGTAGCTCCGGAATTGGTAGTCCTCATGGCTGCATTCTAACGAGGTGAACTTCTGTTTCTCAGTTAGTTTGGCACATAGTGTTGCTCCCACACAGACACACACACACAGGCACACACGCATACGCATACACCTAGACATAGACATACAGACACAAACGCAGGCACACACACACACATGCTCAAAAACACAAGCACACTCACAGACACACACACACATGCAGACTCACATGCAGACACACGGTCAAACACACACACAGACATGTACACACACACAAGCACTCATGCAGACACACACACACACACAGACACATTCAGACACACACCACACACAAGACAGGCAGAGAGACATACAGAGACACACACAGAGACACATATATAGACCCAACAAAGACACACACACACACAAACACACACATACAAACACAGAGACACATACACATAGACACACACAGACACACACACAGATACATAGGCACACAGACACACATGGATCCACACAACAACTTATACAATTACCCATACACACACTTATACATACACAGAATCATGTGTACTCAAACACGCTTACACACACATATCACACATAAACATGTCATACATACATGCATACATACAAACCTTGTTTAATTATAAATTGATAATGCAATAGGCAATATAAACGACATTTCCGGTGGCATGCAATCACTTGTAAGCTAGAACTGAAACAGTCTGCGGTTAAATGAATAGGAACTCTTTGTAATTTTAAGATCAAGGGGATAAAACAGAAGATGATAAGTACACAGAAGGTGTTAAGTACCCAGAAGGTGTTAAGTATGCAGAAGGTGTTAATTACAGCATACCATATAAGGAATTACTAATTAACTCATAACAACTTTGCTTTGTCCTCGACGAGTTGAACAAAAAAATAAGTTGCATATTCTGTTTACATGACATTGCTGAATCAACCCCAGCTGATGGGGTTTTTCTCGGCAAATTTATGTACACTAGTTTGCCACTTCTTTATTTTGTTTATTTCTATGACCATGTAGGAAATAACGGAGGACCCACCCCCCCCCCCCCCCCCCCCCCCCCCCCCCCCCCCCCCCAACAACAAAAAAAAAACCACACGGAGTAATGAGTTAGAGAGTGGAGGTAACACCCACACACAAAAAAGAGAATGGGGAGAGCTGCTTGCAATAGTGAAGGATAGAACGACTTGGCTTGAGCTGGTTGAGGGCCTATGCTCCATTGGGGGAGGATAGAGGGCAGAAGAAGAACAGTTTGCCATTGTTTGTCTGAATGGTCATCTCTCTGTACCACTGTCAATACCAGCGCAAGACAGTCTGCTGCCGAATTGCCTGCAGCTGGGATCGAACCTGGCATCTCAGCATTACGAAGAGCATATGCAATGCCCAAGCCACAGATGCTGACACCCAATGAGTTACATTATGTTAATGTTTTTAACATTTAGATTCAGCATTGAACATCACAGAACCACTAGAAGGATCACACTTTGAGCCAGGACGTATCTCGCTGGCCATACTCTATGTGATCTTCTCAACAGGTGGCTGGTAGGTTATTAAGTTACAGTACTCTTAGATCATTGATAAGGGTATCCATATATTTTTGAAAGGGGTATCCATATATCTTTGATAAGGGTACCCATAAATTGTTGGCACATTTAAATTACCTCCAGAGTTGGCCATACTCTATGCCATATTCAGTAGGTAGCTGGCAGGTTATTAAATTACCATACTCTTACATCTTTAATAAGGGTATCCATAAATTGTTTACACACTTTGAATCATCTCTAGAATAATGTGTACATACGTTGATTAAATTACTTTCAGAATAATGTATACACACTTTTAATTACCCCTGAAATAATATATACACACTTGGAACTACCTCCAGAAAAATGTATACACACTTTGAATTACCTCCAGAGTAATGTGTACACACCTGGAATTACCTCCATAATAATGTGTATACACTTGGAATTACCTCCAGAATAATGTGCACACAGTTGGAATTACCTCCAGAATAATGTATACACACTTGGAATTACCGCAGAATAATGAGTACACACTTGGAATTACATCCAGATTAATGTGTACAAATTTGGAATTACCTCCAGAATGATGTATACACACTTGTAATTACCTCCATAATGATGTTTAAAACACTTGAAATTTATCTCCAGAATAATGTGAACACACTTGGGATTACCTCTACAATAATGTATACACACTTGGAATTACCTCTAGAATGATGTATATGCATTTGGAATTACCTCCAGAATGATGTGTACACACTTGAAATTACCTCCAGAATTATGTTATACACACTTGGAATTACCTCCAGAATAATGTATGCACACTTGGAATTACGTCTAGAATGATGTGTACACATTTATCAGAACAGGGGTGCTGTGTGGTCTTGAGGTATGGCGTCCACCTCGAGTGCTAGAGGTTCTGGATTCAATCCCTGGTAAGGGCTGAGATTTGTTCACGTGGACTTGGACTTTTAGTAATTCTCCCAAGTCTCCGGGTAGTGAGATCAGACGCCCGTGTGCCATAGCATATTATAATGGCCGAAATATTTCAGTTGGTGCTTTATTAATATCCTAGCTCAAACGGGGGAAATCCCATTTTCTTTCTTAATGACTGCAAGAAGGTCCACCATTGACATTCATAAGCTGTTGCTACAGGGAAGATGCATGTTCTCAAAATGTTGCCTTTGATTTCCTTGCTGGTGCTTAACCACACTTTTAATGCTGTTTTTAGTCTTTGCATTGCTATGGCTATCCTCCTTTTGATTTATGCCAAACAGTCTTCATTGTAATACAGATTCTAGATATTCAAGGTCTTTGCACATAAACTAGATGACTCACTCAAAAAACTGGGATTTTTTTATGTGGACTTGGACTTCTAGTAATTCGCCCAGGTCTCTGTATTGAGATCGAACACCTGTGTGCATTGTTGAGAACGTAAAAACATCCCTTGGCAATTGAAAAACGAAAAGAGTAGACTAACGACACTGCCCGGGCAGAATTTTGAGTTAAAAATCTACCCAAAGTATTTCAAGATCCTCGCCGGTGATAGAGAGCCTGTGTACTGTGCTGAGCTTCTCTGGACTCAGACTTGAGTTAGAAGATAAAACGGAGCACTTATGGGTTACTACCCATGTGCCATGATGTAGATCCATTGTTCAAACCTCATAAACATCATAAACTTCCATATGCTAACTACTATTACTGGAAGCCAGTGATATTTTGTGCTGATAATATTTTGTACTATTCTGTACAGATATTATACAGATTATGTACAGATAATGTTCTATAATGTTTGAAAATTAGAAACCAAAAACAATTATGCAGAGGTGATGTTTTAAACATTGCATTATTTTAGCACATTGTTTATTTTGACAATTCCAGGCAGTCTGTGACTACCTTAACGGAAGAAGTCAAAAATCCTGCCAGGTGGGATAGCTACAATTAAAGAATATTATGTCTTTTCGTTGTTGTTGTTGTTGTTTTGTGTGTGTGGTCAGTTGGGGTAAGAGTTGAGTTGAGTCAAGAATTGACATCACAGCGCTCGGGGCATTCCCATGTCTGCTCCGTTCTCATCTTCAGCAGTCAGCGCAGAGTTCCCATACTGATGGTACTGGTCACAATCTGGTTATATGTCTATCTTGCCCTTTCTCTGAGTGTAGTGAGCCGGCCAGACCCTCTGGTTACACCCACATACCTCATTCTCTCCAGGCCATAATCTTCTAGCTCTACTGATTCTGTTGCAGTTGGGATAAGAGGAATGTTCTTACAAGCTATATAATTGCATTTTGATTGATTGATGTTCAACCCCACAAGGACATCACACTGAGCGATAAACACCTGGTGACACAAAGTGCCACCATTTGGATAAGGATCACCCTTGGAGAGGTCCTAGAAACTCAGTTCAACCCATAGGTTGGGTTATAATAGGGCCCCCGGCAACAACCAGGGTGGGGCTTCAAAATAACAAAAAATGTGTCCTACATGGGGACGTAGAAGTATAATATTGTGTGAAAGTGTGAAAGATGTGATTTTATAGATGAATGATAAAGTGACAAAGATGTGGTTTTATAGATGAATGATAAAGTGACAAAGATGTGGTTTTATAGGGGAAGATAAAGTGACAAAGATGTGGTTTTATAGATGAATGATAAAGTGGCAGAGATTTAGTTTTATAGATGAATGATGAAGTGGCATGATGTGGTTTTATTGATGAATGATGAAGTGGCAGAGATGTGGTTTTATTGATGAATGATGAAGTGGCATGATGTGGTTTTATTGATGAATGATGAAGTGGCAGAGATGTGGTTTTATAGATTTATTATGTTTTAAATGATGAGAAAGCACAAGGCCGCCCCAGGAGAACATGGATTGATGAAAGTAAAGAGCTTCTACATTGACACAGAATGACAATAGCTATAGCTGCCTATCAAGCAGTGGATCGCAAACTGTCCCTCCCCACAACTCTTAAATGGAAGAAGTGTAAATTGATGATGATGAGAAAACCGTGGACAGATAAAAAGAGCAGTGAGGATGTCTTGAAAGACGCTTATCTGAGAAGAGAACACCAGAAAGAGGTAATCTACATTCTTGGGTCATGTGATGAGAAGGACAAATCGGGAGTTCATTGTAATGGTGGGGAAGTTAGAGAGGAAAAGATGCAGAGGGAGGCCATTAGAGAATAGGCTGGACATCATAGCATAGAGCATAGAAGATCATCTATGTCAGAACTGACTGAAAGCAAACGAGACAGAAGATTATGGATAGACATGACTTCTAATGCCACATGGCGTAGACTATGGGAGATCATCTATGTCAAAACTGACTGAAAGCAAACGAGACAGAAGATTGTGGATAGACATGACTTCTAATGCCACATGGCATAGACTATGGGAGATCATCTATGTCAGAACTGTACTGAAAGTACAGGAGACAGAAGATTGTGGATAGATATGACTTCTAATGCCACATGGCGTGGACTATGGGAGATCATCTATGTCAAAACTGACTGAAAGCAAACGAGACAGAAGATTGTGGATAGACATGACTTCTAATGCCACATGGCATAGACTATGGGAGATCATCTATGTCAGAACTGACTGAAAGTACACGAGACAGAAGATAGTGGATAGACATGACTTCTAATGCCACATGGAGTGGACTATGGGAGATCATCTATGTCAAAACTGACTGAAAGCAAACGAGACAGAAGATTATGGATAGACATGACTTCTAATGCCACATGGCGTAGACTATGGGAGATCATCTATGTCAAAACTGACTGAAAGCAAACGAGACAGAAGATTATGGATAGACATGACTTCTAATGCCACATGGCGTAGACTATGGGAGATCATCTATGTCAAAACTGACTGAAAGCAAACGAGACAGAAGATAGTGGATAGACATGACTTCTAATGCCACATGGCGTGGACTATGGGAGATCATCTATGTCAAAACTGACTGAAAGCAAACGAGACAGAAGATAGTGGATAGACATGACTTCTAATGCCACATGGAGTGGACTATGGGAGATCATCTATGTCAGAACTGTCTGAAAGAACACGAGAAAGAAGATTATGGATAGACATGACTTCTAATGCCACATGGCGTGGACTATGGGAGATCATCTATGTCAAAACTGACTGAAAGCAAACGAGACAGAATATTATGGATAGACATGACTTCTAATGCCACATGGCGTGGACTATGGGAGATCATCTATGTCAAAACTGACTGAAAGCACAGGAAACAAGGCAGTGGATGAGTATGATAATGATGATATTATTTTACTTGTATTTTGTTATACTGCCACATTTGCTGTTGCAGAATCCTGCCTCTAGCTGTGCACATCACATTTGCTGTTGTTGTGTTCCTGTTTTTGCTCACCTATACCAGTTATATGGTAGTGCTGGAGAAACAAGACATCATAGAGGCCAAGGCTTTAGCTTTAGTGAGTTTTGCTTAGTTTCCTTCCTTCCTTCCTTCCTTCCTTCCTTCCTTCCTTCCTTCCTTCCTTCCTTCCTTCCTTCCTTCCTTCCTTCCTTCCTTCCTTCCTTCCTTCCTTCCTTCCTTCCTTCCTTCCTTCCTTCCTTCCTTCCTTCCTTCCTTCCTTCCTTCCTTCCTTCCTTCCTTCCTTCCTTCCTTCTTCCTTCCTTCCGGCCTTCCTTCCTTCCTTCCTTCCTTCCTTCCTTCCTTCCTTCCTTCCTTCCTTCCTTCCTTCCTTCTTCCTTCCTTCCTTCCTTCCTTCCTTCCTTCCTTCCTTCCTTCCTTTCCTCCTTCCTTCCTTCCTTCCTTCCTTCCTTCCTTCTTTCTCTCTTTTTCTCTTTCTTCTTTCTTCTTTCTTTCTTTCTTTCTTTTCTTCTTTCTTTCTTTCTTTCTTTCTTTCTTTCTTTCTTCTTTCTTTCTTTCTTTCTTTCTTTCTTTTTCTTCTTTCTTTCTTTCTTTCTTTCTTTCTTTCTTTCTTTCTTTCTTTCTTTCTTCTTGCTTCCATCTTTCTTTCCATATTTTCCTTTCTTTCTTTATTTACCTTTCTTTCTTTGTTTCCTTTTCTCTCTTCCTTCCATCTTTCTTTCTTTCTTTCTTTCTTTCTTTCTTTCTTTCTTTCTTTCTTTCTTTCTTTCTTTCTTTCTTTCTTTCTTTCTTTCTTTCTTTCTTTCTTTCTTTCTTTCTTTCTTTCTTTCTTTCTTTCTTTCTTCTTTCTTTCTTTCTTTCTTTTCTTTCTTTCTTTTTCTTTCTTTCTTTCTTTCTTTCTTTCTTCTTTCTTCTTTCTCTTTCTTTCTTTCTTTCTTTCTTTCTTTCTTTCTTTCTTTCTTTCTTTCTTCCTTGCTTCCATCTTTCTTTCCATATTTTCCTTTCTTTCTTTATTTACCTTTCTTTCTTTGTTCCTTTTCTCTCTTCCTTCCATCTTTCTTTCCTTTCTTTCTTTCTTTCTTTCTTCTTCTTTCTTTCTTTCTTTCTTTCTTTCTTTCTTTCTTTCTTTCTTTCTTTCTTTCTTTCTTTCTTTCTTTCTTTCTTTCTTTCTTTCTTTCTTTCTTTCTTTCTTTCTTTCTTTCTTCCTTGCTTCCATCTTTCTTTCCATATTTTCCTTTCTTTCTTTATTTACCTTTCTTTCTTTGTTTCCTTTTCTCTCTTCCTTCCATCTTTCTTTCTTTCTTTCTTTCTTTCTTTCTTTCTTTCTTTCTTTCTTTCTTTCTTTCTTTCTTTCTTTCTTTCTTTCTTTCTTTTTCTTTCTTTCTTTCTTTCTTTCTTTCTTTCTTTCTTTCTTTCTTTCTTCTTTCTTTTCTTTCTTTCTTTCTTTCTTTCTCTTTCTTTCTTTCTTTCTTTCTTTCTTTCGTCTTTTTCTTTTCTTTCTTTCTTTCTTCCTTGCTTCCATCTTTCTTTCCATATTTTCCTTTCTTTCTTTATTTACCTTTCTTTCTTTGTTTCCTTTTCTCTCTTCCTTCCATCTTTCTTTCTTTCTTTCTTTCTTTCTTTCTTTCTTTCTTTCTTTCTTTCTTTCTTTCTTTCTTTCTTTCTTTCTTTCTTTCTTTCTTTCTTTCTTTCTTTCTTTCTTTCTTTCTTTCTTTCTTTCTTTCTTTCTTTCTTTCTTTCTTTCTTTCTTTCTTTCTTTCTTTCTTTCTTTCTTTTCTTTTTTTTTCCTTCTTAATGCATGTTTCAACATTCCGTGTCATAGAAAGTATTCCTAGTGAGTACTTCCCATGCCCTCTTTCATACGCCCCAAAAATATATACACAAATTAAATTCGCCAACAGCTGTGAAAGTTGAGGAAAATATGTTATTTGAGTAGGGATATTTTGACTGGAGAAATGAACACTGCTGCAGTTTCCTCCAGAGATATTTAAAGTATTCCAGCTGTATATACAGAAAGCCACCATGGTGTAGCAGCTAGACGCTTGCTTCGGGCCCGAATAAAGTCAGATTGTTTCAGAAATAAGCTTGGCTGTCAGGTTGACCTGGCCTGAAATGGATACTGAATAAAGTCCTGGGAAGTAAAGGTGGCCAGTGTGATATTCACCACATTATCCACAGTGTGTGGATTAGTCATGCCGGGTGACCTTGACTCTCTATAACTACACCTGGTACCCATTGAAAATGATAAAGTGGTCATGGTGAAGGTTTTCTGAGATCAAGTAAACTGTGCAGCAGGACAGACAAAGCATTCACTGATTTAGAGAATGATTCATCTGGATATTAGCAGAGGGTCTGAATGACTTTCTACCTGCAAGGGGGTAAAACAAATGAACTTTTGATAAGGCTTCCGTCTTCTTTTTGTGTGTGCCTTTCTCAGGCTTTGTCTAGTTCATATCTTCAGCTTCAAATATCCCCTGCCATCGTCTCTTGCACGTATTTTCCGCTCGACTTGCTGTGATCATGCGCCACCATGCAAACACATCATCACACTCACCATACTTTCATATTCAAGCAGTGTCTTATATCCTTTGCCCATCTTTGTACTAGCTGACCCCTGTCTCTCCTTCCTGGTGTCGTCTGCTATTTTTTTTCCCTAATCCGCCGTGATGCTTGATATGACCAAGACATTTCAGCTTCTGAGACAAGATCCTGTTTATTAGCTAATCGACCTGGATGTTCAGATCTTTTAAAATTTAATAGTATGAATACTTGGTATTCAACAAATGCATGAAAGGTGAGAGATGTCAAGGGTGTTGGACAGGATTTCATCCACAATATTTAACCTGTTGCACAGGAGAGAACAGAATCTAAGAACAACTTGCGAGCCATTTGTGGCACATAATTGCACTAATGATGGTGTTGAGTGCTGATGAAAGCTTTTTAGCTGAAATATTCATTTTTGTCATTTGTGATTGTTTTACTGCGAAGGTGATTAGTTCTACTTCTCAAATTTTTTTTTCTTCATATTTTGTAAGCTATTTTGAAATTTAGATTGATTTTTGTTGTTGTCATATTTTAGAGCTATGCTGAATTTTAGAGTGATTTTTTAAAAATGTCAGAACTATGCTGAAATTTAGAATGTTTTTCCTGTTTTGAGTACTGTGCTGAATTTTAGAATGCTTTTTTAAAAATGTTTTGAGAACTATGCTAAAATTTAGAATGATTCTTCCTGTTTTGAGAACTATGCTGTATTTTTGAATGCTTGTTTCATGTTTTAAGAACTATGCTGAATTTAAGAATTCTTTTTTTAATGTTTGGAATACTATGCTGAATATTAGAATGCTTTTTTTATGTTTTAAGAACTGTGCTGAATTTTAGAATGCGTTTTTCATGTTTTGAGAACTATGCCGAATTTTAGAATAATTTCTTTTGTTGTGAAAACTGTGCTTAAAATGATTTTTCTGGTTTTGAAAACCATGCAGAAATTTCGATTGTCTCCATATGTTATGAGCTGTGCTGAAACGTCTGCTTCATTTTCAGATGTTCTGTCAACACTTATGGTCTCCTTTGGTGCCTGTGATGTTGATCCTGGTGGCACTCACCTGTGTAGGTACTCTCTCCACTACTATCATGGGACATTCCAGGTAAGTCCTTTGCTCCTACAGCAGGTGTGTTCTGTTTGAATGGGTTTGACCTGTAAAGAACTACCTCCATTGCGCCTGTATGTGCTTCACAGATCACACTAAAAAGTTTTTAATCAGAGGACATGAACCATGTAGCACTTACTGGTGTCCGGTTGTATTTATATCAGAACTGTATATTCTTATTGTGGATTACAAAACTTTATTTTGAGGGCAGAAGAATAGACACACAAGCGTTTGGTAAAATGCAGCTAAATAGGCTTTGTTGAAATTGGATGTGGGGAACTTTGGGCGTTGATATTGCAGCCTACCTGATAATCACTGCACGACATTCCAACAACCTTTTTTTAATAGACGAATGCAGATGAAGATGATGATAATGAGGAAGTTGAAGAAGCAGAAGAAGAAGAAGAAGAAGAAGAAGAAGAAGAAGAAATTGAAATTTCACCCTGACCAGCAAACTAGTCTGGCCTACAAGTTTCAATTTGATCATCTTATTTATTTCCTACTTATCTGAGAAGTCCAGACATCTGATACACTACCCAAGATTCGCAGACCAGCATTAGGGACCACAGTCCTATTCCATGATGTCAAACTGTTCAACATCTCTTCTAATCTACCTCTTTTTTTCCTTCAATATTCCTATTAACATAACACACTTCAGTTTTTCCCCTTCTCATGACATGCCAAAAGAATTGGGATTGCTTACTTCTGATATAGGTAGCCAGTGTGCCTTGGGAGTTGTTTATTTTCTATACAGATATGTATCATATCATATTCCCTATGTACCATGGGCATTTTGCTTTCCTTTTATGCCCTTTATATAATATAAAACAAAAAAGGTATATGGTGATAACATAAAGAAACAACAAGCCCAAACACAAGTCCATAATTTTCAAAGACTTTGGGCCACAAAAATCGGCATAAAGTTTTAGGATAATTTGATTCCAGTGGATTTACCCTCTCCCCTCTTCACTGAAATCTACTGGAAACTTGTTAAGTTTAAATGATGTCTTGCAAACCATTGTCTTTCATTGAGTCCCAGGGGGTTTAGAATCAGAGGCCCAAGGGGTAGTCAAGAGAGATGTAAAATCGGTGCATCTTGCATTCATTGGACCCCTAGGTGGGAACCTATAAATGTATGATGCGTTCCTTGGGACTCAATGAGTTAAACTATGACTCGTTCTTTTTTGGACAGCAGTGTTATAGTGTATTTTTCTCTCATAAGAGTTAATCTACTTCTTTTCATTCTTCTTGTCAGTGGTTTTCAAATGAAAAGGTTACAGGCCTCTGTAAAGTCTGGTGTGACACACGTCTTTCACTTATATAGACAGTTTAGTTTATATTGGAAAGCCAACCAGGATCTCTCTACTGCTTAAATAGAGCATAATCCCTTGAACTATCTCGCACTAAGTTGCTCTATCCTTTGCTATTTCTTGCAGGTCACCCCATGTACTCCCCATGTTCTCAACTTTACTCTCTAGCTCCCTTCTACATGTGTTCCTATCCAACACCTCTGTCTACACTTTCCCTCTTCACTGTTTAGTTTTCCCCCAAAGCTCAACATTCTTGTTCTTGGTCTACCTCTTGCTGTATGTCCCTCTCCTCTTTTAGTATATGCCTTGTATGGTATAGCATCAGCAGGCATTCTTTCCAAGTGGCCATTTGATTCGCTGCCTTTGTATGTAATTTAGTGATTCTATCATGACATATAACTTTCTCTATTCTGTGCACACACACCAGTTTGCTTTACCAAGTTATTTCAGGACATGTTCATTACTTTTTAAAAGTGTAAATGATGTTGTAATTATACTATTACAGTATATTTTGATTTGGCCATCTTTAGACTTTAAAACAGAACATCAAGCTCTTCATACTAACACCAAAACCATGTGATTATCTGCCTAAATGGATGTTTCTATCATTCTTATACTTCACGCATCTCAGGACAAGTGAATCTTTTTGCTGATATTTTTCAGAATGCTCTTTGCTGCAGCACGGAAAGGTGATATGCCATCTTTACTTTGCACTGTTCATCCCACTAAACGAACACCAGTGATGGCTATCTGTGCAGTTGTAAGCAAATTTTGCATGATAAGAGGGTTGGTTGTTCAGGAAAAAGAAAACATCCCATGTAATGTAAACAATAAACAGTGAAATGAATTGGCTTCTTTTATGGCATGAAATTTATTGAGTATCTGGTGATTCTTCTTAAAGTCCATGCCATGTGGCGCTGGTAGTCATGTCTATCCACAACCTTCTGTCTCGTGTACTTTCAGTACACTCTGTCACAGATGTTCTTCCATGCCACTGTCCAGTATCTGTTCTCTCGTTCTCCGTCTGCCTCTCCTCAGCTCCAGTTTTCCAACTGTCACGATGTACTCCAGTTTACTCCTTCTCGTCACATGACCAAAGAATGTAGATTGTCTCTTTCTGATGTGGGCACAGTTCTCTTCGTAAAACAGTTTCTTTCAAGACATCTTTATTACTCTTTTAAAATGACCAGGGTATTCTCATCATTCATCTATAAAACCACATCTCCGCAGCTTCAAAATAATGTTTCATTAATCTACCAACTGTTCATGATTCACTTACTTATATCAGGGTAGTATTTATTTTGCTTTTAAGAATTGTCTTTCTCATCTCAATTGACAAAGAAAGAGTGAATAAAATATTCTTAATTTCATAAAATGCCACCTTCGCTTGAGCTATACACGTAGCTTTTTTTAAAAAGAAATATTGTCTTTATTAGGTATGACGGTAAATTGTGTAGAACCTATGTTGTCATAAATATGGAACATGTGGGTAGTTAGCAGGCAAGCTGGAAAACATAAACTCACAGCGGAATTTTTTTTTTTTTTTAAAGAACAATGCAAAGAAAAAAAGAAATGATAGAAATTAAAATAATGCAAACAAAAACAACACATGGCACACTTTATTGCCAGGCATATTTCGCTGTACCTCAGCAGATGTGTTACTGCTGAGTTAAATCAATATATTATGAATCACACACTAAAAAAACCCTGAATAAATCCAACTGAAAATGCGAACGGTTTCTTTCAATGCATCTTGTTTGTCTAGTCGGAAGTTCACCACAGTCACATGACTTACCAAAGTGACTTCTAATTTACTATAAATTCTGTCTTCTTACAATGGAGGGGGTTGTTGATTTTAATTGTTATTTAGGCCTAATGCAGAACTTCATTCCATAAGCAAGGGCCTTAGATTGAGTTTTATTGAATGTATGATAGAAATGAAAGAAAAATAAGTGAGACAGTCTGCCAACAAACAGGTGAAAACTGTAACCTGCTTAGAGACTTTAGACAAAGACAATCAACATGTTATGAAAATGGCTCAAGAGTTTTGTCACAGTTGGCAAAAATTTAAAGAAAGAGAGCCCGGTGATGGTGCAGAGATAAATATCTGGACATGTGGCATAAGGAGAGGGATGAGTTCAGAGCACTGGCTTGATCTGGGATGTTAGTGATTGTGTGAGACGGTGAAACTTTACTGCCCTCGCTTTTTTTTGTCAGGGCACATAGTTATAACGATAATGTAAATAAAAATGTGTATAAAAAATGCACATAATGAAATTTTTTTTTTTTTTTCAAGATTCTGAATGGATTTATTATGATGTACTCTGGGGGAATGGTCAAACTGATGCAGTTCATTGGTCTCTACTCCATGATAATGGGCTTGAAAGTTGTTGTTGCACTGTTGTACCTCAGGCTGACCAAGCCTCAGCTACCCAGACCATACAAGGCAAGGTTTTATTAATGTTTCTATTAGCTTCCTAATGTTAGCCATCTTCTGTCTTGTGGTAGTTAGTTAGTCTACAGGTTATCCTCATTGCACATCGAACCATTCAGTCCATAAGTGCACGGATCCCCTCCTCAGTGAATCCTGCTGCATGTATCGGCTCACTACACCAGTTCTCTGTTGGCTTTTTATTCTTCTTTGGCTTCCTGCATAATGCCCTTGTCTGTCTGGCCACACCCTTTGAGTTGAGCTGAGTCAAGATTTGACATCACAGCACTCGGGGCATTCCCATGTGTGGTCCGTCCTCATCTTCAGCAGCCAGAGTTCCGATACTGATGGTACTGGTCACAATCTGGTTATATGTCCGCCGTGCCTTTCCTCTGAGTGTAGTGAGCCGGCCAGACTCTCTGGTTACACCCAGGTGCCTCATTCTCTCCAGGTCATAATAATCTTGTTTCTCTGCTAATTCCATTGCTTGTTTCCAAAGGGCCTTGACCACATCTGCCTTGTCATGTATCAATTCATCACCCAGTAGTGCAGATCCAGCCAGTCTGTCTACCTGTTCATTACTCACTACGCCGGCAAAGCCTGGAGGAGAGATGGCTACACCCCTTTCAACATGTAGTTCTTGTAGTACTGGCTTAGTAGCCCAACATTTCTTATTGTCCAGACCTTTAACCCTCAGTGTAGCCTAGGCCCTCAACCAGCTCATGCCATTTCATCCTGTCCTTTTTGCCATCGTAAGCAGCTAACCCCATCATTTTAGGACAAGGTTCAAAGGTCCGCTGTCATCGGGCCCCTCTTGTCGGAGTGTCAGCACTAAAAGGGGAAGCCATTCCTGATTCTTGTTTTTTTTTTTTCTAATACTGTTGTGCTAGTTGTTCAGATGCAACAACATTGAAGGGGTCAACATTCTGCTGAAGAAGATTGGTCGTTGAAGTCCCGAACCTTCAGGCAGATACTGCAGACAGGGTGAGATGTCCCTACCATTAGCCCCACTATTTGGAGTGTCAGGACCGATGGATAAGACATGCCTGATGCTTGCTTTTCCAATACTATTATGCTAGGTTTCCCAGTGCAACAATATTGAAGGGGTCTACCCTGCTTCTGAGGGAGATTGTGTCGGCTGATTTGATCATTGGTCCTGAACCTGAGGGCAGATCCTGCAGACAGGTTTCAAATGTCATTGGTCCTTCTTGTCGGAGTGTCAGGACTAATTGTGGAAGGCATGCCTAACTCTTGTTTTTTCAATACTGTTGTGTTAAGTGTCCAGATGCAACAACAAAGGTGTCTGAATGAGACTGTAACCATCTGTGTTGTCATAGAAGTCCTTGACCTGCAGACTGCTCTCTGTTGATCTCCATAGTGCCTAGTCCATGATGAGGGAGAAGCTCAACATACGGATGTGAGGTTAAGCAATCATCTGCAGGACATGATGATTCCTTGGGTGACCCTAGGACCACAGCATCATGTGTCAGCTTTGCATTTATGGAAACCTCCTTGAATGGTAGGGAGTGCCCATGATATGCTTCTGCCTTCCCTTGAGTCCCGACCAGTCTGTACACAGTTGCCCTGGGTGGCTTCCGCTGAGGCAACACCTGTAGATAAAAGGACAGAGAGGACAACGTAAAAAAAAAAGGCTGTATCATGTTCCCATGAAACCAGCCAGAAAGGCCATCTCGGTGAACACATGCATGATTAAAATGGATGTTGAAAGCAGTCTGTAGGTCAGATCAGTACTATTTTGTGAAGCAAAAACATGGAGGACATCTATAGCAATTACTAATAAACTACAAACATTCATTAACTGGCGCCTGCACAGAATAGATGGAATTAAATGGTATAAAATAATCCCTAATGTAGAGCTTTGGGAGAGAACTAAGCAAGTTCCAGTGGATCGAGAGGTGAAGAGAAGGGAGCTAGAGAGTAAGGTTAAAAAGATGGGGAGGATATGAGAAGAGCTGTATGTGATAGTGAAGGATAGAACGACTTGGCGGAAGTTGGTTGAAGGCCTTTGCTCCTTTGGGGGTTAGAAAGGCAGAAGAAGAAGAAGATCTACTGAAAGGTGCAAAGATCACACAGCCTGAGGATTGAGGACTGCATGGCTGGTGCAGTTGCCAAAGTATTTTCATCCCTGACAGAAAAAGTTGAACATCCATGACCTTACTCAGGATTCAAACTAGGGTTTGCTGCATAGGAACCCAGCATTGCTAACCGTTCTGCCAGCCATCCCGTAACAGAGATGGCACCTCATTGATAATGACTGTTTCTAAAACCTCTACTTCTTCCTACAGTACATGCTGCTGGGTCATTCGTAGTCATATGTTATCCACTTTCAGTCGTCTACTCTCAGTCCGTCTCTGCCTCTTTTCCCCTCCAGCTGTCCCACCATCACAGTGTACTCCAGTTTTCACTTTTTCATGAAATGACCAAAGCATGTAGATTGTCTCCTTCTGATGTGACAGTCAGTTTTCTTTATGATTCAGTTTCTTTCAAAACATCTTCATTACTCATTTTATTTGTCTGATGTATTCTCATCATTCGTCTATAAAACCACATCTCCTAAAAATTACCGAACATAAACTAATAATAAGATTAGATGGCTTAGATGACAGATCAACATCATAGCACAAGCGGTAACACATAAGTGCTCCGTTCTACTTCTGACTCAAGCCTGAGGCGAGGACCCTGAAATACTTTGGTAGATTTTTAACTTAAAATTTTGCCTTAAAATTAAGCGCCGTTAGGGGACTCCTAAACTCTCTTATAAACTAATAATACTTTTATTTCCTGTGACTCCAGGTTCCCTTGTTTGTCCCTGTGCTGCAGGTTTTCACCACTATGGGTCTCCTATGCCTCATCATCTTCCAAGAACCCAGGTGGATGTCTGTTGGGGTCCTGATATCCCTGTCTGGGATCCCCGTTTATCTTGTGGGTGTCAGGTGGAGAAATAAGCCCAAGAGTTACATCAGATTTATAGGTAAGCTGATGGTCTCCATCCCAAAGTGGATACCAGAATGTTTTGTGGGAAGTAAAGTCGGCTTTGTGAAATTCACCAAATAACCTTTAGAATGCTGTGACTGATCTTTAAAAGTGCAGTAAACATTATTTAAAAGTGCAGTCAAACTTTGTTATTTAAAAGTACAGTATAACCTTGTTATTTAAAAGTACAGTAAAAACTTGTTATTTAAAAGTACAGTAAAGCAATGTTTTTAAAATTACAGTAAAATCTTGTTATTTATAAGTACAGTGAAACCTTGTTATTTAAAAGCACAGTAAAGCATTTTTTAAAAAAAAGTACAGTAAAACCTTGTTGTTTAAAAGTACAGAAAAGTCAAGTCGGCACTTTGACATTCACCATGTCACCAATAGTATGCTAACTGGTCTATAAAAGTTAAGTAAAACATTTTTTAAAAGTAAAAACAGTAAAACCTTGCTAATTAAAACTAGAGTAAAATCTTGTTATTTAAAAGTGCTGTAAAACATTGTTAGTTAAATGTAAAGTAAAACCTTGTTAATTAAAATACAGTAAAACCTTATTTAAAACAACAGTAGAACATTGTTATTTAAAAGTACAGTAAAACATTATTGTTTAATAGTACAGTAAAACCTGGTTATTTAAAAGAACAGTAAAACCTGGTTATTTAAAAGAGCAGTAAAGCCTAGTTATTTAAAAGAACAGTAAAACCTTGTTATTTAAAAGTACAGTAAAACCTTGTTATTTAAAAGTACAGTAAAACATTATTATTTAAAAGTACAGTAAAACCTAGTTATTTAAAAGAACAGTAAAACCTTGTTATTTAAAAGTACAGTAAAACCTAGTTATTTAAAAGTACAGTAAAACCTTGTTATTTAAAAGTACAGTAAAACCTAGTTATTTAAAAGTACAGTAAAACCTTGTTATTTAAAAGTACAGTAAAACCCAGTTATTTAAAAGAACAGTAAAACCCAGTTATTTTAAAGTACAGTAAAACCTTTTTATTTAAAAGTACAGTAAAACCTTGTTATTTAAAAGTACAGTAAAACCTTGTTATTTAAAAGAACAGTAAAACCCAGTTATTTAAAAGAACAGTAAAACCTTGTTATTTAAAAGTACAGTAAAACCTTGTTATTTAAAAGTACAGTAAAACCTTGTTATTTAAAAGTACAGTAAAACCTGGTTATTTAAAAGAACAGTAAAACCTTGTTATTTAAAAGAACAGTAAAACCTTGTTATTTAAAAGTACAGTAAAACCTTGTTATTTAAAAGTACAGTAAAACATTATTATTTAAAAGTACAGTAAAACCTAGTTATTTAAAAGAAAAGTAAAACCTTGTTATTTAAAAGCACAGTAAAACCTAGTTATTTAAAAGTACAGTAAAACCTTGTTATTTAAAAGTACAGTAAAACCTAGTTATTTAAAAGTACAGTAAAACCTTGTTATTTAAAAGTACAGTAAAACCCAGTTATTTAAAAGAACAGTAAAACCCAGTTATTTAAAAGTACAGTAAAACCTTGTTATTTAAAAGTACAGTAAAACCTTGTTATTTAAAAGTACAGTAAAACCTTGTTATTTAAAAGTACAGTAAAACCTTGTTATTTAAAAGAACAGTAAAACCCAGTTATTTTAAAGTACAGTAAAACCTTGTTATTTAAAAGTACAGTAAAACCTTGTTATTTAAAAGTACAGTAAAACCTTGTTATTTAAAAGTACAGTAAAACCCAGTTATTTAAAAGTACAGTAAAACCTTGTTATTTAAAAGTACAGTAAAACCTTGTTATTTAAAAGTACAGTAAAACCCAGTTATTTAAAAGTACAGTAAAACCTGGTTATTTAAAAGAACAGTAAAACCTGGTTATTTAAAAGAACAGTAAAACCTTGTTATTTAAAAGTACAGTAAAACCTTGTTATTTAAAAGTACAGTAAAACATTATTATTTAAAAGTACAGTAAAACCTAGTTATTTAAAAGAACAGTAAAACCTTGTTATTTAAAAGTACAGTAAAACCTAGTTATTTAAAAGTACAGTAAAACCTTGTTATTTAAAAGTACAGTAAAACCTAGTTATTTAAAAGTACAGTAAAACCTTGTTATTTAAAAGTACAGTAAAACCCAGTTATTTAAAAGAACAGTACAACCCAGTTATTCAAAAGTACAGTAAAACCTTGTTATTTAAAAGTACAGTAAAACCTTGTTATTTAAAAGTACAGTAAAACCTTGTTATTTAAAAGTACAGTAAAACCTTGTTATTTAAAAGAACAGTAAAACCCAGTTATTTAAAAGAACAGTAAAACCTTGTTATTTAAAAGTACAGTAAAACCTTGTTATTTAAAAGTACAGTAAAACCTTGTTATTTAAAAGTACAGTAAAACCCAGTTATTTAAAAGTACAGTAAAACCTTGTTATTTAAAAGTACAGTAAAACCTTGTTATTTAAAAGTACAGTAAAACCTTGTTATTTAAAAGTACAGTAAAACCTTGTTATTTAAAAGTACAGTAAAACCTTGTTATTTAAAAGAACAGTAAAACCTTGTTATTTAAAAGAACAGTAAAACCCAGTTATTTAAAAGAACAGTAAAACCTTGTTATTTAAAAGTACAGTAAAACCTTGTTATTTAAAAGTACAGTAAAACCTTGTTATTTAAAAGTACAGTAAAACCTGGTTATTTAAAAGAACAGTAAAACCTGGTTATTTAAAAGAGCAGTAAAACCTTGTTATTTAAAAGAACAGTAAAACCTTGTTATTTAAAAGTACAGTAAAACCTTGTTATTTAAAAGTACAGTAAAACATTATTATTTAAAAGAACAGTAAAACCCAGTTATTTAAAAGAACAGTAAAACCTTGTTATTTAAAAGTACAGTAAAACCTTGTTATTTAAAAATACAGTAAAACCTTGTTATTTAAAAGTACAGTAAAACCTTGTTATTTAAAAGTACAGTAAAACTTGTGACTTGTTGTCCATATCATCCTAGCACATTAGTTCGACCCATTTCTGCTCCACCCTCCAATGCAGCGGCCATCTCACCTGCTCAACATACCTAGAAGGAATTAACTTTTAACTTTCTCCTGAATGGTCAGCTGTCTCAATTCCGCTGTCGAAACCAACGCAAGACAAACTGGCCATGGCTGGGTTCGAACTCGATACCACGGCATTACGAAGAGCATTCACAATGCCTAAGCCACAGACAATATAGCAATATGTGCTCAAAAAAGAGGAAGATGAAATTTTTAATCTATAATTTCACGTACATGTTATCATATTGATTAGATTGATTCGATTTTGAACAGTAGATGTAGAAACTGCTCATGAAAACAGAAACATTCTTAGCTTTTTGTTTTCTAAATAGTTTTACAAATATTTTGTTTATAATTAAACTGCACACTTTTTGTTTTCTAAATAGTTTTACAAATATTTTGTTTATAATTAAACTGCACACTTTTTGTTTTCTAAATAGTTTTACAAATATTTTGTTTATAATTAAACTGCACACTTTTTGTTTTCTAAATAGTTTTACAAATATTTTGTTATAATTAAACTGCACACTTTTTGTTTTATAGTTTTACAAATATTTTGTTTATAATTAAACTGCACACTTTTTGTTTTCTAAATAGTTTTACAAATATTTTGTTTTCTAAATAGTTTTACAAATATTTTGTTTATAATTAAACTGCACACTTTTTGTTTTCTCAATAGTTTTACAAATATTTTGTTTATAATTAAACTGCACACTTTTTTGTTTAAAGCATAAGGAATTAATACAAGTACAGACGCACTCATTTTCAGAATTGCCTATCATTCTGAACATTTCGTACGTTACCTTGCATTAATTGTTGTGTTTCTTGTCTTTAAGGTTATTTGACGGCCTGCATTCAGAAGTTACTGAACCTAGTGCCTTGTTAAACAGACCGAGACACAAAGACTAAATAGGACAATTGTCGTACGAAGGGGAGTCTTTTATCCAGCATAGTGCCATAAATACGTTTCCAGGAGGAAATAATTGTCCAGAAAGAATCATTTTTTTTAAAGAGAAGACATAATTCTTCTATAAAATATTTTTCTAAGAGAAAATACTTCTCTGAAAGAAAGTGCTTCCCGAAGAGAAAAAAAAATAATTCTGTCTATAATAATATATGTATGTATAAAACACCATAACCTCAGCACCTGTTGCAAAATCACCGTTTCATCTTGTCCGAATGTCTGATACGCGCAACAGGAGATGTCCGAGGCCTGGAGTCATGAACCTAGGTCGGCCCACCCCTCCAGGTTATCTAGGATGGATAACAGAGCCGAAATAATAGTTGAAAGGGGACCCAGCTACTGGTGATCAGTGGGCTCCTGCTGTGCATATTGCCATTGTTCAGTTCTTCACTTCTTCTTATTATACTCAAAGACAACAAATATCAGAAAGAAATAATTCTCCAATGCAAATAATTTTCATCATAGAAATACTTGAAGAAGTGTCTCCATAAAAATATTTTTTGGTAAGATTGAAATACTTATCCAGTAAGAAATCCAGTAAGAAAAATTACTTCGCCAACAGAAAATACTTCTGAAGAAGAAATAATTCTTCAAAATTAAATATTTAATCTAAGAGAAAATGCTTCTTCAGGAGAAAAAAACAACTTCTCTAACAGGAAATTCTTCAGACAAGAAGAAATACTTTTCTAAGAAGAAATACTTTACTTTTCTAAGAAGAAATGATTTTCTAAGAAGAAAACATTTTCTAACAAGAAATACTTTTCTAAGAAGCAGTACTTTTCTAAGAAGAAATACTTAAAATACTTTTCTAAGAAGAAATACTTTTCTAAGAAGCAGTACTTTTCTAAGAAGACATACTTTTCTAAGAAGAAATACTTTAAATACTTTTCTAAGAAGCAGTACTTTTCTAAGAAGACATACTTTTCTAAGAAGAAATACTTTAAATACTTTTCTAAGAAGAAATACTTTAAATACTTTTCTAAGAAGAAATACTTTAAATACTTTTCTAAGAAGAAATACTTTAAATACTTTTCTAAGAAGAAATACTTTAAATACTTTTCTAAGAAGAAATACTTTTCTAAGAAGAAATACTTTAAATACTTTTCTAAGAAGAAATACTTTAAATACTTTTCTAAGAAGAAATACTTTAAATACTTTTCTAAGAAGAAATACTTTAAATACTTTTCTAAGAAGAAATACTTTAAATACTTTTCTAAGAAGACATACTTTTCTAAGAAGAAATACTTTTCTAAGAAGAAATACTTTAAATACTTTTCTAAGAAGACATACTTTTCTAAGAAGAAATACTTTAAATACTTTTCTAAGAAGAAATACTTTAAATACTTTTCTAAGAAGCAGTACTTTTCTAAGAAGCAGTACTTTTCTAAGAAGAAATACTTTAAATACTTTTCTAAGAAGCAGTACTTTTCTAAGAAGAAATACTTTAAATACTTTTCTAAGAAGAAATACTTTAAATACTTTTCTAAGAAGACATACTTTTCTAAGAAGCAGTACTTTTCTAAGAAGAAATACTTTTCTAAGAAGCAGTACTTTTCTAAGAAGAAATACTTTAAATACTTTTCTAAGAAGACATACTTTTCTAAGAAGAAATACTTTAAATACTTTTCTAAAAATAAATACTTTTCTAAGAAGACATACTTTAAATACTTTTCTAAGAAGAAATACTTTAAATACTTTTCTAAAAATAAATACTTTTCTAAGAAGAAATACTTTAAATACTTTTCTAAGAAGAAATACTTTAAATACTTTTCTAAGAAGAAATACTTTAAATACTTTTCTAAGAAGACATACTTTTCTAAGAAGAAATACTTTAAATACTTTTCTAAGAAGAAATACTTTAAATACTTTTCTAAGAAGAAATACTTTAAATACTTTTCTAAGAAGCAGTACTTTTCTAAGAAGAAATACTTTAAATACTTTTCTAAAAATAAATACTTTTCTAAGAAGACATACTTTTCTAAGAAGAAATACTTTAAATACTTTTCTAAGAAGAAATACTTTAAATACTTTTCTAAGAAGAAATACTTTAAATACTTTTCTAAGAAGAAATACTTTAAATACTTTTCTAAGAAGCAGTACTTTTCTAAGAAGAAATACTTTAAATACTTTTCTAAAAATAAATACTTTTCTAAGAAGCAGTACTTTTCTAAGAAGAAATACTTTAAATACTTTTCTAAAAATAAATACTTTTCTAAGAAGAAATACTTTTCTAAGAAGAAATACTTTAAATACTTTTCTAAGAAGAAATACTTTAAATACTTTTCTAAGAAGAAATACTTTAAATACTTTTCTAAGAAGAAATACTTTAAATACTTTTCTAAGAAGAAATACTTTAAATACTTTTCTAAGAAGAAATACTTTAAATACTTTTCTAAGAAGACATACTTTTCTAAGAAGAAATACTTTAAATACTTTTCTAAGAAGAAATACTTTAAATACTTTTCTAAGAAGAAATACTTTAAATACTTTTCTAAGAAGAAATACTTTAAATACTTTTCTAAGAAGAAATACTTTAAATACTTTTCTAAGAAGAAATACTTTAAATACTTTTCTAAAAATAAATACTTTTCTAAGAAGCAGTACTTTTCTAAGAAGAAATACTTTAAATACTTTTCTAAAAATAAATACTTTTCTAAGAAGCAGTACTTTTCTAAGAAGCAGTACTTTTCTAAGAAGAAATACTTTAAATACTTTTCTAAAAATAAATACTTTTCTAAGAAGAAATACTTTTCTAAGAAGAAATACTTTAAATACTTTTTCTAAGAAGACATACTTTTCTCAGAAGAAATGCTTCACCCAGAAGAAGAACTTCTCCCAGAAGAATTATTAACTCAAGAGTAGAATAAAAGTAAAAATTACTTTTCCATGCCTTCAGGGCGTATAGGGCTAGACCTATATTTTACAAACTATTCTGCACTCTGTGGGTAATGTGGTCAGCGTGACGCAGGCTACCTTTACTTCCCAGGACTTTACGTGGTACCCATTTAAGGCTGGGTTGATGAGGGAGCCAACGTCATTTCTGAACCCTCGACTTTTGGATCCACAGGTGAGTGCCTGGCGGCTACACCACAACTGCACCCTAAGAGCAGAATAGTATGAGAAAATTAGCTGGTGGTCAGTGCTAAGGTCCTCATGTCCTAACATGTGTGACTGTCCTAACATGTGTGACTGTCCTAACATGTGTGACTGTCCTAACATGTGTGACTGTCCTAACATGTGTGACTGTCCTAACATGTGTGACTGTCCTAACATGTGTGACTGTCCTAACATGTGTGACTGTCCTAACATGTGTGACTGTCCTAACATAGTGATTGGACAACTGTTTTTTTTTTTTTTTAAATAGAGACTGTACTAATGTACAGTAATGGATAACAATTTTTTTTCTAGATACTTATTGCAGAATTTCAGTGTGATTTTATCTTATTGACATAGTACTTAGTGTCCATGCCTGCCAAACCATTGTTCTGATTTCAGTGTTTAGAAAATGCAAGATGATGATTTTTGTTTTTCACGTTAATAAATGCTTCGTAATGCCAGGATGCCGGGCACTTTGTAATGAAAGAGTACTGGGCACTTCATAATGCCAGGGTAGTGGGTGCTCCGTAATGCGAGGGTACCCGGCGCTCTGTAGTTTCAGGGTACTGGCTCTTCATTATGCCAAGGTACTGAGCGCTTTGTAATGTCAGGGTACTGGGTGCTCCGTAATGCGAGGGTACCGGGCGCTCTGTAGTTTCAAGGTACTGGCCCTTCATTATGCCAAGGTACTGAGCGCTTTGTAATGCCAGGGAACTGGGTGCTCCGTAATGCAAGGGTACCAGCGCTCTGTAATTTCAGGGTACTGGCCCTTCATTATGCCAAGGTACTGAGTGCTTTGTAATGCCAGGGTACTGGGCGCTTCATAATGCCAGGGTACTGGGTTTGATACCAGCTGCCTGTGATTTGGCAGCAGACTGTCTTGCATTGGTTTCGACAGTGGCATCGATTATAGAGCACTCAGTCGCACACTACTGAACGTAAAATGTGCCTAGAAAAACAACAAAGGCACACAAAAAAAAACGCTTAGGTTGATTCTGCAACGTCCCGTAAAGATAAGCAGATATAGGTATATTTATTGTGCATGGCATCCTGATTTTTACAGTGCGCCTCCTGGCTGGTTGCCTCCGACTTCAGCACCTAATTTTAATTTATTCTGGTAAGCTAGATCGACGTACTGTCATATGGGACTGAACTGTCCACTCTGACATGTGTGTGTGTGCCTGTATATAGGACTTCGGCATCATAGGCATCATTCTCCCAAAAAAGGTTGGTACTTAACGCCGACGTAGCTTTGTGGCTTCATTGACCATTACGTTGCATCTGGTATGGTCTGATGACCTTCACTATGAACTTACATCAAAATGAAGACAGTCAGAAACACACAGTCCTGATTCAGTTCAGTGCGATCGTCCTGTAAAGGATACGCACATTTTTTGTTTAACTTATCATAATGCTGCTGATGAGGCACAGTTCCAAAACTCATGCCAACCCACTCTAACAAATATCTCAAAAACTCCTGTATGGTTCAACACAACTGTTTTTGCAAGTGGCCTTGGATGTCCCATGTTCTTATGATTTTAAAATTTACAATTGCACAGATGCTGCTATTTTCTTAAAGCGGCGAATTTTTTTGATCTTTGCTTGACTAATAATTTCTGAAAAGACATTTAAATATTTTATTCTTGGTGTTGCGAGACAGACACTTTGACTTCAGAAGATCCTGAAGGGCATCGTATACTTTATTTCCAGATTGTATCCTAGACAGTATTTCTTCTCTCAGCATGTTGGTGCAGTTGAAATGTACACCCAAGTACTTATATGTTTTCATTCGTTTGATTTTCATATTGTCGACTTGTATGTGGCCG